AATATTACAACAGCGCTGATATACACTTTGCACAGTTGTTTCACCAACTTAGTCGAATTCAAGTTCCCTTTATATTATTGGAACGTGAATACCACTTATTAAAGTTCCGCTTGATAAAAACTGGTGGACATATGGTCCATGTTTAGATTCTGTTTATCATCATATCTTCGCAGAAAAGGTTTTCTTATCACAAACCACCAAGGCACTGAACGAGTATGGTGCTATGCTATATACGCGGCGTATTGACAGTATATCAACGCTTCGACATTGCACACTTGTATCCATATATGGCGACGCTCATGCTACAACTGGAATAACTAATTAAGTTTTAAATATACACGAGGACGATTAAATAAGTCCTCATTAAAATGTTTTGTTATAATTGCGAATTTGTTATTACACTCGTAATTAATCTTAGAATGTATGTGTATTCAATTTTTTTAATCTTCGTAATATTACTTACGAGTATTATAATATTTGTTATTATCTATGTTTAATTATTTATCAGACTCCTGCAGTAATGTTTTATTTTTCTTTATATATATATAAAAGTAAACAATTATAGGAATTGATTGTTTTTTCCTGTTATTATAATGTCTTCTTCAACGTCTTGTTTTAAAAAGCAATTGTTCTATGTATGCATCTTTTTTTCTTTTTATTTATAATATATATATATATATTATAATATATAGTGGGTGTCTTTCCATGATTTTACATAAAAAATATACAGGATTTTTTTATTTATTTCGCCATCTAGTCAATGTATAAGTTACTGGATGTTAGCAGACTAGTACATTAAAACTCTACAAAACAGCGTCACAGAGCGATACCTACCATAGAAATATTTTGTTTGTTTTCAAGTTTATCTAAATCACTAGTTTCTCCAAAAAAAAAACTTTTCTACAAATACGCGAAGCACGGTCACCCAGATACCTTCCCCTTACATGTCAAGGCAATTTACATTATGAGTCTTGCTGCCAATTCCAACAAAGGCATTTAAGAATCACAATCTATTTTCAACAAGAAATCTCATATACGTGATCGGTGTGGTAAAATCACTAGATCCGTGAATACCTTTGGCATATCTGTTTCTTTTACGAATATGGTCATACCAGCGGGAGTCGAAGCCTTCTAGTCATTGTCAATGTTTAAGCCACAGAAGAAAGATTAATTCGTTTTTGTATTGTTTGTTTTAAATTTATAATAACAAAGAAGCTGACGTCCTACCACATGATTTTTTTTTTATAGATAACAGTGAATTAGTTCATCCGTTTACGGTAGCTATATATAATATTAAACGCTAGCGGGGCACCATTGGAGAATGTTAGGATGAACATGAAGTTACGTAGGTTAGTTAACTTAATAAACGTAACGTAAAGTTGACGTAGTGAGTTTTACAGGAGTTCACGTTAGTTTCCGGATAGTGTGGAAGCTGACTTTTTTGAGCTTACTTTAATATTATCCAGGACATTTACTTATCCCTATTACCAATAATCCCTTCACCCCTCACATAATGTAATAACTGCTCTTGGCACAGTCATATACGTAACTCTTGACACTAGGATACAGTAATTAAACAATAATATGAACAACTTTTTGCCAATATAGTAAATGAATCTGAAATTTTCTAGATATCGTCATTCACACAATCGCTATCTATTTGAATACCTATTTATTTGTTTATGTAATTCTTAGCAACTGCGCTTGTTAGAAAGATCTTTATCTTTGCCTGTGATGTTTAAATATGCCCTTATCAATTTAGGTAATTACTTCATGCTTTATCGCTTTAGAAATTTCGGAGATAAGCGAGAGGACGACGAGAGAGGGCTAAAGTCAATCTAGAAAGATTACTTTTTACTGTTCTAGTTAATAACTCCGCTTTAGTATTTGCGTACAGAGGACGTTGTTGCTAAAAATTATACTCATTTTTTATGGGTGATAATGTAATGGTGCTTTAGGTACCAGTGGAGGATCATAGGATGAACATAAGGTCAGGTAGCCCATCGTAGTTTATTCACAAAGAATTGACCACAATGTTTTACAAGGGCGACCGCAGTAGGTCGACATTACTAAGAATCCGCACTCTCCACCCTAAAAAATATCTTCCCCCAGACAGCATTTAGTATAAAATATGTAACTGAAAGTTTTAAACGCTGCTGTATCTTCACAGATGCGCTGAGTTGGTAGATGAGTCATGTGGCGGGTCATACGCGAGGTCGTTTGCATGACGTGGACTTGTAAATTTATAAGAGCATTGTTATATATATTTATGTATTTCATATCATTATTAACGTATTTTATAAGGCCCTTAATTGGAACTATGAACGTCTATTATTACAAGTATGTATGAAATAAAATAATGAGTGAATCATTTATTAATTATTGTATTATTTACGCTCAACATAAAAGTATTAATATTACGCATTGTAATTTACATACTAACAATGTAAACTTTGTAGAATTACAATAGACTTATTCATTCAGTAAATATTGTTCAGTCACTAGACATGAAATGTATTAAATTAGGCATTATCATATTAAATTTGCATGCATTCATGCTAAATTAATGTGTGGTCACATGACTAAGATGTTTGTATGAATATATTAAGAATTAATTGTTTCAATTTGTTTTTTATAAACGTGGTTAAGTTCGTATACGTCCATTTTAGACTCCTGTGTAATGGAATTCTATTCTATAATGGTATTCAATAGTGAATAATGAAATTATCATGATCTCAGCATTCTTGAATGATTTTTGAAGGCATTTGGAAGGCGGTTAGCCTGCACATTTTTATTTTCAGTATTTTTCGCATTGCATAATTTAATGTCTTAAATTTATCTAATATGTATTATAACGACATAGAGTCGATTTTGTTATCAGAAAAGTACCCCATTGTTATCAATGTCGACAATCAAGTCGATCTCAACTCGTTTCCCTCTGGAAACCAAGTTGGTTAATCGCAAGTGATTTTATCCCGATAGGCTAACTGACCTGATCTTAACATCCTTCACTGCTGCTCCGCCAGCGTATACCGTTAGCGCAGGGGGATGCCCCATTACATTATCATCCATAAAAAATGCTCAAATATATGTATATGTCTAATATATGCTACATAAAATGTTTTGTTGGTCTATAACATTTAACATAACAATTTGTGTTTATGCTTACGTCTATCAATGTCTATCATTACTTTCGACAATTGTTAGTCAAATTGTTCCCAACATTTTACGATTGATAGTAAAATAGCAATGAAGCAGTTTCAACGATATGTCCGTTAAATATTTCCCATGTTGGTGGTCGTAGCGTAACGAATGCTGCGTCGTGAAAGTTTTTTATCGCTTGCTTTTTCTAAGAAATCACGCGCATGACTTCTATTTGGGTTGGACAATGACAGATTTTATTAATGTCTTTATGTTATATCTATTCTATGATAATATAGACATGAAAGTTATTCGTACACCGGTAGCGGATGAAACTTTCACTGCTTTGTTGGTATTGAGGATCGACTTTGATTCATACTAGAGAATGAGTTATATACTAGTGATAGGGTAGCCTTCTAAATAGTTTTTTTTTTCGAACGACTACTGCTCTTGAGCGCTGCTGTCCTTAACAGCTTAAAAAGTGCACTCCAAACCATTTGAAGTACTTGAGTAGCAAGGTCGATTCCTGTCTGTTAGATACGATTTTGATCTAAGGGCCCTGCTGTTCGATTGTCGCTCTTGCCATCGTAATTTCGATCTCCATTTGAATGGGACGGGAATCGCTGTTTCCTCAATTGATATTCAATTTGACAACTACTTGAAGGGATCGGTCATATTTGAATTAAAGATTTTTAGGTACGTGATCCGTGGGTTCTGTACATTTATAATTTGTAAAGATCATATTCTTTTTTGAATACGTCTGTTAAATTAAGTCTAATAAAAAGTATTAGTCATACTGAGTCAGAGACGTTAAGTACAACCCTGCGATATCGAAATTATTTAAGTAACTGCTTTTTCTAACGCTGGTGCCGTTATAAAATGTGATTCACGCTTTGTAATTAGATGCTACAGTTTCTTAGATGATTTCCCAGACGTGACTCATAACTTATACCCAGCAGCGAAGACAACCATCGTGTTTTGACCTCTTCTGTCTTTGTATAAAGGAGCGTAAAGGATATATTATTAACCTCCGGAGTTCATGCCGTCATGACGTCAACAGACTGCACTCTTTTTCCTTGTTTATTCAATCGAAGCAACGTTGAACACTGCGCTTGATGTACTGGAAACGTAATCTTTTATTTTTGTTTATAATCCAAAATCCTCTAGTTACTGCGGTTTAATAACCGTAACGGTAGCCGTATGGTGCATGTAATTCTTTAAAGATTCAATTGAAAACTCATTAGTAGAAAGAATTGTGCATAGAGTAAAATCTTATTTAGATTATTTCGTCATAACAGTAGGTCCAGGTGCAGCTATTTTTTTATTTTTATGTTGTGAGTAGGTTGACATACTGAACGCTGTTACATGTATGGTGTTAAAATAAAGAATAATATCTTTTTTAGTACTATGTTACGTACAATATATGTAATGGGGTAATGAAATTTTTATTAAATTATTTAAAGATTAAATAACTACCATAAATGAGAGAAGACCTTTATAACATAACCGTTACAAAACTATTTTGTGAAAATATAATGTAATAAATATAATATCATTAGGTTTAGATTTATTTACTGGAACCTAAAAGCTATCCATACACATCCAGTAATACGTAATACCTAAGGAGAGATAGAAGTATAGATATTTCTTTCCTATCAATCAAATCAATTCATCTTTATTCATGTAGGTCTATTCTAAACTTTTATGATAGACAAATTTACCGTCAGTTCTGGGTGCTTTCGAGCTAAGAAGCACTGGCTAAACTTATTTTTTTCAAATCTGTACATATTCACAATATATAGATTCTTTTATATATTATATTTGATTTCGTATACTTACCTATATATTTTTCTTTCTAGAGTTTAAGAAAGACTGGTCAGATCATGCACTCTGGTGGCCGACTCGCAACAAATGGCTCTCAAGACCCAAACATACCCTGGACCAGTACTCCGTACACGCCGACGCCACGCTCCACTTCACGCCAATGCACAAGCCCATTAGGATTCAGCTGCCAGATCTCAGATACATTGATTTCAAGATAGACTTCTCGATAGATACATTCAGTGCTGTTGTTCAGCTTTGCAAGAGCATCGGTGAGTGGTATATTAGTTTTTTTTATGGATATAGATGATGATACAATGAGGCTTTTGCCTGTGCTGTTGGTACACTCTGGTGCACCTTCCGTGGAAAGTTAGAAATTGAGAAGGACTAATAAAAAAGCTCAACATCTTGTCTGGAGATTAATTATGTATATAATGTAGGTGCGAATGTTTCTCATTTCAAATACATTAAAATTGAAGATATTTAATTTTTGATTGATTGATTTTAATCCAAGCAATTTAAAATTACATATATATAACAATGTTGATATAAAATAAATATATCTAGAATGTTGTAATGTCGCTAACTTTAGCAATTTTAGTATTATGTATGAACTATATAACTGTTGCACAGTCAGTTAGTATTTTGTATATGCAAATGGGTCATGCGGAATAGCAAATCTGTCGATTTGTATATTTAAAAAGAAACGATTGCATCTGCTTTTCATAAACAAGACCAGTTATACGATTTTGCAAGTATTATTCTTTCAAATAACAGCGTTTTATAATAAAGTACAAGGCATTTAAAATCGAAGCGTATTATTTTCAACAGAGAATATCCGCAATGAAAATTCTTAACTGTCGAAGTAATTTAAATGTTTTTATTAAAACTTCAATGGTGTTACGGAAAGCTAAATAAACAACTATATACATTATATAAATAGGATATTAACAGTTATCATTTTGTTCATGAACTTCCAATATTTCTACTGTGTTACAAAGGTAACTATTATTTCTATCGATGTAGACTAAAGGGTGGAGATAAGACATTGAAATTACTGGATATGGAGGCCTTATATTATAGCCCTCCAGAATGGCAACGCCCGAGTGGTATCACAGACGTTATATGAATTGTATTGATTGATCTTGGTGTGTTCTTTGTGTATTATGTATATATTTCCAAAATAATGTATCTAAGTATAATAAGTGATCATAATGACCCATAACACAAGCTGTGCTTAGCTTAGGACTAGATGGCGCTGTTTGAATTGTTGGTTATTATTGTTATTAATTAAATAACATTCTTTTAAGGTATAAGACATCCAGAAGAGCTATCCCTATGCTACCCGTTGGAGCAGTCGCACTTGAAACAGAACTACCAAAACCTAAAACAAGCTAAGAGTATAAAGTCAAATCAACCTGACACAAATACATTCAACCCCATCGTGAGAGGCTCTTCCAACAGTCTGGACAGATCCAATGGCCCGTGTCCAGCGACACCGCCCCCACCGAGATCATCATCTGCTACTCCTATAGCACAGCAGGTAGATACCATTTTAAAACACTTAACAATCTTAATAGCCATATACATAAATATTTTTTTATGGATGATATGAACTGGTACACCTGATTGCGCTAATTGGTGAGCACTGGCGAGGCACCAGTGGAGTATGACAAGATGAACAGGTCAGATCAGTTATCCATGCATCATGACAAATGGAGCAGGAACATATCATGATACATTCTTATTTGTCATGTTATTATTTATGATTAATCCCTATTACTAATAATCCCTTCCAACCTGTAACTTTTATGGTAAATAAAGGAATTATTGATCAAGAGAGATAGTAGGGAGGGTAAATAGTTGTTGTTGTTGGTGGGGCCAATAGTTTCTAAGAAATCCTCAATGGCTGTTGTATGATTACTACTCATATGATAATGGAATAGAATGGAGTGGAATGGGGTGGATTAGAATAGAATGGAGTAGAACAGATTAGAATGAAGTAGAATGGGGTGGAATGGAGTAGAATGGACTGGAATTGAGTAGGATTGAGTGGAATGGGGTGGATTAGAATAGAATGGAGTAGAACAGATAAGAATGAAGTAGAATGGGGTGGAATGGAGTAGAATGGACTGGAATTGAGTAGGATTGAGTGGAATGGGGTGGATTAGAATAGAATGGAGTAGAATGGGGTGGATTAGAATAGAATGGAGTGGAATTGAGTAGAATTGAGTGGAATGGGGTCGCATAGAATAGAAGGGAGTAGAATGGAGTGGAACAGATTAGAATGGAGAGGAATTGAGTGGAATGGGGTGGATTAGAATAGAATTGAGTAGAATGGAGTGGAATTGAGTAGGATTGAGTGGAATGGGGTGGAATTGAGTAGAATGGAGTGGATTAGAATAGAATGGAGTAGAATGGGGTGGAATTGAGTAGGATTGAGTAGGATTGAGTGGAATGGGGTAGAATGGAATAGAATGGAGTGGAACAAATTAGAATGAAGTAGAATTGAGTGGAATGGGGTGGAATGGAGTGAAATGGAATAGAATGGAGTAGAATGAAGTGGAATTGAGTGGTATGGGGTGGAATTGAGTAGAATGGAGTGGAATGGGGTGGACTAGAATAGAATGGAGTAGAATTGAGTAGAATGGAGTGGAACAGATTAGAATGAAGTAGAATGGGGTAGAAGGGAGTAGAATGGAGTAGAATGGAGTGGAACAGACTAGAATGGAGAGGAATTGAGTGGAATGGGGTGGATTAGAATAGAATTGAGTAGAATGGAGTAGAATGGAGTGGAATTGAGTAGGATTGAGTGGAATGTGGTGGAATTGAGTAGAATGGAGTGAATTAGAATAGAATGGGGTGGAATTGAGTAGGATTGAGCGGAATGGGGTGGAATTGAGTAGAATGGAGTAGAATGTAGTGGAATGGAGTAGAATGGAGTGGATTAGAATAGAATGGAGTAGAATGTGGTGGAATTGAGTAGAATGGGGTGGATTGCAGTAGAATGGGGTGGATTAGAATAGAATGGAGTAGGATTGAGTGGAATGGGGTGGAATTGAGTAGAATGGAGTAGAATGGGGTGGATTAGAATAGAATGGAGTGGAATTGAGTAGAATTGAGTGGAATGGGGTGGATTAGAATAGAATGGAGTAGAATGGGGTGGAATTGAGTAGGATTGAGTGGAATGGGGTAGAATGGAATAGAATGGAGTGGAACAGATTAGAATGAAGTAGAATGGAGTGGAATTGAGTGGTATGGGGTGGAATTGAGTAGAATGGAGTGGAATGGAGTACAATGAAGTAGAATGGGGTAGAATGGAGTGGAATTGAGTAGGATTGAGAGGAACGGATTGGAATTGAGTAGAATGGAGTGGAATGAAGTAGAATGAAGTAGAATGGGGTAGAATGGAGTGGAACAGAATAGAATGAAGTAGAATGGGGTGGAATGGAGTAGAATGTGGTGGAATAGAATAGAATGGAGTAGTAGTATATAACGGGGAGTGTTCTGAGGAATTGTTCGGAATAATACCAGCTGCTGAGTTTTACCACCGTACCACCCGCCAGAAACTGAAATACCATCCTGATCATCTGGATGAATGACGGTCTTCGACAGTGCGGTTTTCTAGAAACTTTTTGCCTCGCACAACCACATTGTGGAATCACCTTCCAGCAATGGTATTTCCGAACCGATACGATATTGAAACCTTCAACAAAAGAGCTTATTCCTTTTTAAAAGGCCGACATCGTACTTGCAATTCCCATGGTGTTGCGGGTGGGTGCTCATGGGCGGCGGTAATCACTTACCATCAGGTGAGCCGCATGCTCGTTTGTCCCCTGTGTTATAAAAAAAAACAGCCAATTTGTTATTACAAAATTTTTGTCAAGGCGTTCGTTGTGTATACAGATGCCAATATAATACGTGCATACTATGTAATGGAATAAATGTTTGAACAGGTGCTTAAGGACTCATTCCTTTTTTAGGGGCTATAGTCATCACAAGGGACCTTCATCTAGTATCTAATAAACATACGTAAATGGTAGATAGTTGTAATATTGGATTTGTTATCATACATGCAATAAAATTGTAAACTAGCCGTGCCTGTAATTAAGAATATATATATTAAAAAGCAAGCTTACGAGTACACGTTGTACATATGTTGTACCGAGGTCAGTTTTTGAATGTTAGTCTAACCACTTGTGCACGCTAGTATCAAAAACGGAGCAACCGCGAGAAATACATGCAGCAGCTATATTTGGACATTCATGAAATTTTAAAATCTATCTAGAATTTTTTTTCTGTTACCAATTATAATAATGACATCCCTTTCTCTTTATTAAGATAGTAGGAATATTAGTTTAATAGATTATTTTTATTACATTAAAATTGAATTGTGTTTAAATATTAATTGTGTTTTCACAGAATGGCACACTCAGACGGTATGGTGGACACATTTACAGCACTCAAAGCGACGGCTCCAGCGACGGTGGCTACTGCGGTACTCCACCACGAGCTGCCTCCTTAGATGCGCTGGACTCCTTAGCAGACTCTCCCATAGAAACTACCAGCCTGTCACGAGATTCACTCTTAACCCCTAAGTCGCTCGTGGAACGAGCGAGGATGAATGTTGGGTAAGTTGAGAATTTGTAATTGTATTAATAGCCGATACGAGTAATCAGCATTCATAATTAGTGACAATAGTTAAATCTTTTCTATTCAGTGGTAAATGCCGTTTGATACAATTATTCTTTCCTTTAATCTGCGATTATCATGCAATACATCACGAAGGATTTCACGTAGGTACTTACAAATTTTTACATCATGAATTTACATGAGCTGATTATAAAGAGGAAAGAAAATAAGTAGAATAATAAATAATGCAGGACAATTAACACAGCGCCATCTTGTCTCAGGCTAAGCAGAGTTTTTTTTGAGGGTTGATAATGGAATGGTGCACCCGCCTGCGCTAACGGTTTACGCTGGCGGGGCACCAGTATGATAAGATGAGTATGAGGTCAGGTCAATTAGCCCACCGTGACAAATTCACTAGGAATTTATCACGATGGTTTCCAGGGGGAACCGCGTGGAGGTCGACCTGATATGGTACATTGCTAGCAATGGGGTTATCAATCCACAATCCACATCCAACAATCCCCTTCCCCCCGGCTAAGCAGAGTTTGTACTATGGGTACTAGACAACTGATGTAAATATTTAGATAATATTACGGGATCATGATAATAATCATAATCCCTGGATAATTCACACAGCAGGGTCAATATCAGTAGGGTCTCCATTCTCCGTCACTAACAATCCCTTCCCCACCACCTCACGGACAGTACATGATGATGATTGCTGCTGTTATAAGTATATGGACAACAGTTGCCACTTACCATCAGTGGGCCCGGATCTTGTTTGACATTCTAGTAGCAAATATATGTGTGCCCAAATTTAAAGTTCTTCTTTCCAGATGGTTGGACTCATCGCTGTCTATCATGGAGCAGTATGTCCGCGAATGGGATGTCCTCCAACTGAGATTCAAATTCTATTCCTTCTACGATTTGACTGCGCGACAACAAGACGCATCTAGACTCAACCAGCTGTACCAACAGGCGCGCTGGCAGATCCTCAACCAGGAAGTCCACTGTACCGAAGAGGAGATGCTTTTATTTGCAGCGCTCCAGGTTTGTACTTCTACTTCTTGCTAAGTGGTGGGGTAAAAAAACTTTATAAAAGTGTATACTATTTTAATAATTGGTTATAGAAATACTGACTGAACTAGCAAACGTTGTGCCACATAAATTTAAGCTATTATCGCTATAAAAAACAGGGGTTGATCATAAAAGGGTGAAAATTTTAAGTTGTATGTATTTTTCAATGCTAAATCATAATAAAATAAAAAAATGTAAATTAAAAATATTTATGGGGTCACCCTTTCATACCATCATTGAGGGGTATGAAAAATAGACGTTAGCCGATTCTTAGACCTACCTGACATGAACATAAAATTTCATGAAAATCGAAATCCCGTTTCGGAGTTATTTGGTAACAAACACCATTGACACTGACAGTATACAGGTACTGTGAATTTAGACCTCTATATAGAGAAAAAGCTTGTGTTTTATATGAATGATATTGGAATGGTACACCTGCCTGTGTTAAGGATATATATTGGAGGACACATGGTGATGAATACCTAGAAGTAACTATGATAGTTTCCAGGGGAGACCACATGGATGTTATCCTGCTATTATAAATTGTTTGCAATGGTCTCACTAGTCCATATAACTAACATTCCCCCAAATTTAAACTCTATGTTAGATAGATACACTATTAAAGGATTTCTTGAAATTCTTACGTTAACACAAGATAACGGTTTCACGGCCAAGGCTACGTAAACAGCCAGTTCTTATAAGTAAATAAAAAGCTACCCTAACTGTATGTATTGAAGATATCAAAATTTATTCAACGGTATTAATAAGATATACTTTTATTATTATAGCTATATACTATACACTAGCGACATCTATTTGTCGTTGATAATGTTGCTTACTATATGTGAATGAATTCTATTTATATTTCCATTTATTCTATAAAGTATGTTTACTTTAAATTTATAATATTAGTACATGCATATTTATATCTTAGTGCGGCCCTTAGTAGTTATTTTATTATTAGTGGCCCTCTCAATTTCGTACGCTATTTTGTTGATGGAAATAAAACAACATAAATATCTAATAAAAAATACATCTATATGACACCAATCCATATGCATATGTTGATGCATGATAATTACATATTCTTTGAAAATAAAAACAATTTCTTCCAACCATTATCAATTTAAAAGACACACAAACCGACAATAAGACAGTTTATGCTTCGTCTCCGATATCTTTTACGATTTTATTATATGTAAAGTTTACAATAATACTTTCAGCTGCAAATCGAACTGCAAACCCTGGCCGGTGGCAGTATAGACGCGGCTGATGGGGCACAGTCGACGCCGGGTGCAGCACCAGAGGACGAGATCGACGCAGCCCTAAGTGAGCTGCAAGCTCACTTGGAAGGTGGACCACCAGCTAGGCCTGACATCACCCAAGTACCAGAGCTCAGTGGATACTTGAAATATCTTAGGTAAGTTACATTTATAATCTTTTTTTATAAAATACTCAATGATTTATAATAAATTTACATTGAAGCACTTTTGGATAATAATCACATTTTTTTAATCTACCGCTCATTCGGATAGCTGCCTCATCACAAGAACGAGAAAGAAACTTGCGTGTTGCTCTTTTAAATAATTCAGTTGTTACTTTACATTTTTAAGTTAAGTACTATTAATCTTACTATATAATATTTCTAATATTATAAACGCGGAAGTTTGTGAGTGTGGATAGGTGTCTATTCATTTTAATTAAACTTTACAATAATATACTTTATACATCAGAGTAACACATAGGCTATGAAATTCACAAGGGTGAAACCGTCGGCAAAACTAGTATATATAGTCAGAATTATGTGCTACAGATATGAAAAAATATATATATATATGTATAGAATATTATAAAGCTATATGGTGACATGTTCGTGATGTTGTTGTTCGTGTATGTAGAAGATGGTCGGCATTTTCCATCCGGTGGGCGGTCAACTTATTTGCTTCTAGTTAAATAAAAAAATAGAGTAATTTAGAAGCAGTAGCGCCTAATTAATATACGATTGAAACACGATTTGGTATGTCCAGGAATAAGTTTACGAGAGTTTATATTAAAGTACTCTCAAGGGTCTTCCGTTTAAAAGAAATAATTTAATATGAAGAAATAGCTTTTATAACATTAATGCAAATATATTAGTTTTGCAATGACATGTTTAGTTTCCATAAAAATTAAGTACGTAGTCTGTTCTGATAATACAGATAGAATAGCCATTACAGAAGATAAGTTCAGTCTGTACATAAATTAAAGTACATAGGTCGTCTGTTTGCATGTCTTAGTCGTGTACAAAGAAAACTGCAATAAGCTAGATATCGCTTCTGAGATTTACGTGTTATCGCCATTTTATCTGTGATTGCATTGCCTATCTTACCTTATAAAATAGCAAAACATTTATAAATCATTCCCGATAGGAATAGCTAAAACTGTTCTGCTAATCTAATCTAATCTTAACTAGTATCGGATCTAACTTTCGACTAGTTTCGACCTAAGATTAGTGTTTCTATTCGGCAATAGTACTTTGTGAGTAATAATTAATTAAATGACTTAATATCTATCGCTATTAAACTTCCATTTATTTATAAATAAAATCAAAATATCTTTGTTCATGCAGGTCTATTACAGACTCTTATGATATGTCATATCCGCATCAGTTCGGAATGCTTTCGAGATGAGAAGAACAGACAAGGAACTCAGCTCGTTCTTTTCAAATATGGTTTTACATGTTTACAATAATACAGATTCATTTTTAAATTCAAATTTGGGAGAATAGAGTGACTATAGAAGTACAGTAGTAGTAGCATATGCATAGCAATTTTGTCAAAGGCAAATAGTCTAATCAATGTTCGTAACTCGAACAGACCAGTCCCCACAGGCAGCACCAAAACTATTAATGAAATTAAATAATTTCCTACATTTCCAAGTAAAATTATGTACATTTATTATAATATTGATGTTTAGAAACTTCCAGGAAAAATATGAATGTAAATATAGTTTTTGACGAAAACTAGAATAAACAGGAAATTAGTTTTGATATAAATTTTAGATTCAGTTAGATTCTAATATCATGTACTCAGTAGTAAAATCTGTCACCTAAACTGGTCTCGTCATATCTTTATTCCGTTTATCTCAAGTGTCAAACTATCTAATCTCCGGGATACGAGGGGTGCTATTCTACAAACCAGAGCTATCTCGAGTGACTGTTTTATCGACCGCCCTTTCGTGTCATAACAAACAAGTTGCTGACCGTTACTTCGAGTTAGTGAAACCTATAAGGATCGCGAACGCGTACGTGACACCCCCAGTGTTTCAAGCGTCTATTGGATACGGTAACCGTTTACTATCAAATATCTTATGTTTGCTGCCGTATGCTTGATTGCCACTACTATGTTATAAAAAAATACACCATCATCATTGTCATCAAACTTTGTGATCATTTATATAGACAATACCATTTTGATAACGACGTGGTCTACTGATGTACTACTCGATTTCAACTCTGATTGACACCATTAAAACTTTGTGTATCAATTTATATTTATGGCCAACTTTTCGTGATAGAAACGCCATAGAAAATCAAATTAATCCGACAGCAAAAAGCTCGCAACGTAAGATTTCAATATACCCATTGTGGGCGATAAAGGAAGCCAGGGAATTATATTATAAAGAAAACAGTACAAATTAGGGCCAGGACGGGAAATATAGTATGGAATATAAATATGGAAGTTTGTAACGCTGTTGATTTCTAACAAATTAATAAATAGAATCATTTTCATGTTTTAAACCATAATATTTATCATTATTCATCACCAAATATGATTTTATTTCTTTATTCTACATATATCATATAAGAAATATAGCTGTACCTGTATTATTCATCACACAGTTTAAAATCGTCAGTACTCATACAATTATTTGTTACAAAATTAAAACGAACGTTGTTGTGTATTTGTAAGACACTAACAGGAAATTTAGTAATAATAAACAACATTTTGTTAGCATTAATCGTTGTGTGTGTAGGAAGAGTATAGTTTTCCTTAACCAAACCAAATACATGTATAAACAAACTGTACCCGCGACTTCGTCCGCGTAAAATAGTGACCTTGACCTAATAATAAAAATATTTAATTAGCTAACCCAATAAAAGACAAATACAAAAGTTTCATCGTTTTGCCTTCAAAAATGACGAATTTCCATACAACTCAATCAACAGCCTAAAAAATAAGTTTCAGACTTCTAACTTTAAAAATTATTTCATCTCCACTTTCGACCTCCTTACAACTCGCTTTCCACATTAAAAAGTAACCTATGTCCTTTACAGGATCTAGACTATATGTGTACCAAATTTCATTTAAATCGGTTCAGTAGTTTTGGCGTGTAAGCGAGACTGACAGACAGACAGAGTTACTTTCGCATTTATAATATTAATAATAAGGATTAGTATATAAGATAATATTTTTTTAGTATAAGATACATGATTATTATATGATAATATATTGTATTTCTTTCCGTTAATGTTCGTGGGCCGCGCCAGCAAGTGTAACAACGGTTACTGTACCATTGCGTAAGATTCATTTTACAACCCCCGACCCCTAAACAGAGTTACTTATCAATTAATTGGTCAATTGTAGTGTCCGATCAAACTAGGTGACGCCCAATTTCGGCGCAGAATTGTCATAATCAATAGCATAATCGAAATTTTCGTCTAAGAATTAGTTAAATTCAATTGTTTATCGGTTATTATGGAGACTATATGTCAGAAAATATATTTAAGCAACAATGCCAATATAAAAAAAACTGTTTAAATACATATTGTTATTCACTAAATTCGAAATTTATTCATGAAGTAGATATGTACTACATGAATATATGCGGTATCTGCGGAATGTGAAATAAATCAAATAATGGTATCAATAATTGATACCATTATTGTGAAAAAACAAATTTTGGTCGGACACTTATGTACGGTCACTTACTTACAATGTAGTTTAAGATTAAACATTGGCTGCACGCAGAGTACAGTTTTTAGTGCACTAATTTATTAATTAGTATTCTGTTATTTTTACTTTATTTTATTCCATCCTAACGTTTCTATTTTTTGTTATACTCCCTTTTTTTAACGTTTATGTAAATATTGTAACAATATGCCCCGTAACTAAATTAAAATTATTTTTGCTGTATCATTTATTTGTATTCTAACGTTTATTCTCTGTATATGAGCAATCCCTAAATAATATATTAGTTTAAAGTAAAAAATAAATTTAAAAATGTATATAAAACGAGTCACCACCATGTACATATTATACTACATTTTTTCCGCTCGATAAAAAATGTATTCCGGGATGAAGGTATATTATTAAAAATAATTATAAACGGTCTCGGTGGTCTAGCAGTTTAGCACACCGCTTTACTTCTGATGTTCGCGGGTTCGATTTCTCGCACGACACAAACATTTGTATTCATGAGTATAATTGTTTGTATCGGTCTGGATGTTTTCTATGTATAATATGTATGTATTTACGAAAAAATATATCTATGTATTTGTAACAGTTATCTAGTACTCATACACACGCTGTGTGAATTGTCCTGAGTTTATTATTATTATAAATACATTTCTAATTGGAAATGTGAAGGAAGGGCCTTTAGAATACAAATTAAGCTATTAAAAAACTCAAATGTGAGATTATGTGACCTCAGAATATATAAATTCCACTTTATTTGTGAGTCCTAAAATAAGAATATTAATTTTCCAGGCCGAGGCGGTTCTCACTGAAGGCGTACAAGCGCGGATGGCTGTCCTGCCGTGATGGGGTGCTCCGCATCCACTCGTCTCGTGACGCTGCGGCCAAGGGCGAAGCCCCATCGTACGAGGTCGAGCTAAGGGGGGCTGAGGTGCGTCTATCTATACGTCCTCATAGACGTGGATTCAAATGCAACTATAAATGATATTTTTGTTAATCGAAACGTGTAGGATTGATTCGACTTTATTATAGCCATAAGTAGTACCAGGTTTTTAACAGTGAAACCATATTCAAATTCAATCATCATGTAGGACATTTTAGCCGCTTATGAATGTCAAATTATTTTTATTATTTAGTAATAAAATTTGGACACAACGACCCAAATATGAGCCTAAATGGGGAAGGAAGAGTCCTTTTTAGCATTTATCTTTATGATATCAAATGTATATCAGTGTATAAAATATTATTTTCGTTATAGGTAACGCCTGATGCTCACCCAGGCTCGGGGAGGTACAGCATCAAACTGGAAGTGCCGTCAGAGGACGCCATGCACGAAATGTGGCTTAAATGTGAAAATGTAAGTTTAATGACTTCATACTTGTGATATTAGAAAAACAATAGATTCACCATTGATGTTTGTAATACTTGTAAAATTAAAAATAAATCAAAAACAATAATTTTAAATGAAGCTTACTTGCATTAGTGTAAAACAAACTGAATTTGATTATACTGGACTATTATTCTGAGATTGTCTCAATCGGAACGCAGACTCATTACAAAAGGAACAAGCTAGAAACTTACGTATTGCTCTTTTAAATATTATATAAATGTATTATATTAAATAAATGTTGTGATATGTAAATACTCTTTAACAAGGATTAGGCATGCGACAAACATAGCAACCGCACTTAATCTTTTTGCAATCAGACAATATTGTCAACGCTATGAAAATTGTAAGTTAGAATTTCTACTATTCTTCAATTGCAAATAGCTATAACTATTTGCAATTGAAGTATATGTTCTTAAACTTTTTTTGTCTGTGTCTATCCATCAAGTCAAAGACTATGAACAGATACCGGTTCTAGTATTAGCAGCTACACAGCTAGTAGTTATATGACACAAGTGAACAGACTAATCCTTCTACTAATATTATAAATGTGAAAGTAGGGATGTTTGTTACCCTTTCACGCAAAAACTAATGAACCGATCATCATGAAATGTTGTACACATGTTCTTAAATTATCATAGTTTTTTTATTTAAAAAAATCAAATATTATTCATAAAACACAAAAAAATATAAAATCAACGTTATCTAGCAACCAGTAATGAAGTTATGCGAGCGAAGCCGCGGGTAAATACAGCATATATAGGTATATATGCTGTATCTACAGACAGCATTTTTTTTTATGATAATGGAATGGTGCAACCGCCTGTGCTAACGGTTTACGCTGGCGGGGCACCAGTGGATGATGATAAGACGAGGACGAGGTCAGGTCAGTTAGCCCATCGTGACAAGCTCACCAGGAATTTGTCGCGATGGTTTTCAGGGGGAATCGCGTGGAGGTCAACCTGATATGGTTGACCTCCACGCGGTTTATCCCCTTTCCCCCCCACAGATAGCATTATACACATAAGGTATATGTACCATTGGGAATAGCAATAGTAATCGTTTGCTGTACGCCCTACAGGAGGAGCAGTACGCGGAGTGGGTGGCGGCGTGCCGGCTGGGCTCGCGCGGGCGGTCGCTGGCGGACGCGGCGTTCGCGTCGGAGGCGGCCGCCGTGCGCGCGCTGCTGGCGCTGCAGGTGCCGCGCCCCGCCGCCGCCACCGCCGCGCACCACCTCCCGCACCTCCACCACGTGCAGCCCGACAACTACCTCGCGCCCAGGTTCCTCAAGAAGCTCAAGGCCAAGGTACATTAGATATACCGCTTATAGCATACCAACACATATACTCGTATTACACGAATCAGGAGATGAAACATCTATTCATTGATACCTATATATGTACTAGCTGTCCCAGCAAACTTTTTGCCATATGAATTAATAACGCTATAAAAAAATAGGGATTGATGATAGAAGGGTGAAAATTTAGGATTGTATGTATTTTTGTATGTTGTATCATAAAAAAATAGAAACTAAAAATTTTGTCTAAAAAATAAAAATTTAGGGGTGGACTACCCCTAACATTTAGGGGGATGAAAAATAGATGTTGGCCGATTCTCAGACCTGCTCAATACGCTCACAAAATTTCATGAGAATCGGTCAAGCCGTTTCGGAGGAGTATGGGAACGAAAACAGCGACACAAGAATTTTATATATAAGATGTATATATAAGTACACGACATAAAATAATGTAAACAGTAAGTAACTGTGTCACACGCATAGACACGAATAGTTTTCGATTTTATTATGACGAATGTACCTTCACAGCTGTTAATACGGTGCAGTTGTTGACGGTGAGGCATAGTATTGACATACTTTGAAGCTACTAACCATATTTACTGACATATTATAAATTTCGAATCATTTTGTTTAATCAGAAATATAAATTGTTACAATTATACAATAACAATAAAGTTGTATTGTGTTGGTCAGACTTGAATTCGCGACCTTTGGAGACAGTAAAACACAAATTTTAACAAATCTAATCAATATTTCCAATATCTAATTTTAAAACTCATGTTACAGTTCACCCAACGCGTTTTGGAGAGCCATGCCAACGTAAAAGACCTTCCACTTCTCGAAGCCAAACTGCAGTACATCAAGACATGGCAAAATCTTCCTGATTATGGGCAAACATTGTTTGTTGTACGCTTCATGGGACATCGCAAGGATGAGATCATAAGCGTCACGAATAATCGCATCATGAGACTCGACCCCAACACTGGAGACCACATCAAAACTTGGAGGTTCAGCACTATGAAGGTACAATAGAACTTCCCTAGTTATATCTATGTCGGTATCGTATCGGTACTTATATTTTGATCAGTACGCTGGTAGATACATAATTCACCTTTGGAATAAAGTTTTTTTTTAACTAAGTTAAACCTGAATAATAAAGTTATTTAAATAAGAAAAAAATTGATAATAATAGTAATCTATTGCTTCCAGGCATGGAATGTAAATTGGGAGATCAAACACATGATGGTGCAGTTCGAAGAAGGCAACATCATATTCTCGGTGCAGTCAGCAGACTGTAAAGTGGTGCACGAGTTTATCGGTGGATACATATTCCTCTCGATGCGATCCAAGGACGCAAACCAAACATTGAATGAAGAACTGTTCCACAAACTCACTGGTGGTTGGACATAAACATTACTACTATATTTTAGGGAATCTTCATGCGATTCTTAGTATGTCAAACAAAAATAAGGATGTTTTACGATACAATTGAATCATGCCATTATTAGGTACTAGTATTTTATACAAAATAGGGATTTTGATAATGTTCAATAATATACACAATACTTTTATATATTTGCTTCTAAAATTTCTAATGCAATTTTCTTATATTACATATAAAATCGCATGAAATAAGGGCTTATAAAATGTGCCTTTAATATTAATCTTGATTGAATTCCCTATATTATAAGGTACATGTAGATTATAAATACTTTTATTAATAATGAATATATTATTATAATAACAAAGTTATTGTTTTTCACTAAGTTATTACTTATATTGTAATGGATTATTTAATTGTCTGATTTCAGAATGTTTTTAATTAAATATAGAGCTTCCAACTGTGTAAAAGCCAAATAATTATAATGTGAATGAACACAGTAATGCTGTAACCAGAGTAGGGCATTAAATATATTACTGTAAGCGACGGTAAAAGCTTTTGATAGATAAATAAGTTATAATTTTTATAATATTTAATAGAGTAAATGTATTTTTTCATTACACTATATTGAGAGTAAAGTGCCATTATAGAAAAGGTAAATACAGCATCTGACGGATCTGATTTGTGACCACCATTTTTACACTTAACTACTAGTGGTCGTGTTTTATGTGAATTACTTGACTTGGTACCACCAAGCCGTTATGAATTCGTGTAGCGAGTAGAGGATATCATTATACCTTGACTAGCTTGGCGGTGGGTTATAGATATCGCCCGTACGGCCGAAAGACAGATAAATCGACGGGTATGCGCGCAAAGCTCATCGCGTATATACATGTTTATACAATTGTGTGTCCATACACAAGGTACTGGTCACCATAGCCGGGTTTTCTACGAATTCAACCCAATAGCTAAAGTGTTAAAAGCCAATATAGTAGTCAAACACACGAGATCAAACAAGGTGAGACATTCACAGCAACTTTGGTGCTTCTACGGGAAACTATACTAGGGTAATATTGAGTGGCCTTAATTCATACAGAATAATACTATATTTTACACATGACAATGTAAATAACTTTAGTTAGGCATGTATCGTTTAATTAACGCCAATAAAATGAATCTATGAAATTTGCGGCTTTAGAATTCTTATTCTTGTATAAGTAACCTTATTAAATAAAAATAATGTATTTTATTGTCGTGGACTACTAGTCTCATTGAGTTCGCATAAAATGCTGTCTTGTTTGTTTAAGTTTAGAATTAAAAATTGTATTGTATTAACAAAGTTTGCCTTATTTTACTGTAGAGTTATTGTACAAATTGTATGTACATTTATATGGATAATATAGTGTCTGATTGTAAATTAATGTCCAAATAAATGTAAATTAATAACAATTATTCATGTCTTTTTCTCTATTATGCCCTGACTAATATACTGCCAAAAACTTTATAGTAATCATTTACCATTAGACAGGTCGCATGCATATATCATAGTATAAAAAAACAATTTGTTAATTACCAACGTTAGACTAACCTGTATGAGTACTTCTTTATCACAAATTTTAACAGTCAAGTAGCTTGCTTTGGAGCTGTTTCAGTGGGAGGTGAGATATACCCAATGCATGCGGGATATCATAGAAGTGATATCACAGATGATGTGATGTCTGTGGTGATGTTCATGTATATAAGCGACAGTTACAACTTACCATCGGGTGAGCAGTCACTTGATTGCCATTTCAATAAAACAAAAATTAATGTAACAAAGCAGGTACATATATATAGGATAGTATATTATAAAAAAGAAATTGAACGAGTTATTAAACAATTGTATTTTAAAAATTTGAAATGCGAAGACACAGTAACGTTATGAGGATCCATGTTAATTCCTTTCACCTTATATATACTATAAGGCGTCATATCCTGTTAGATAGCGTTTATGGTATGACGGTACATCCATATTGACTGGAGGTATAGATAAAACTAGTGAACATGACCCAGCTACATCATTTACAATCATAGCTGGTTCTGATTGAGACCAAATAACTTTAGGCTTCTCACCAGGACTCTGGCCAGAATATTCTTCAACTGTAAGCATGTCGGAATTTCCACACATAGCCCTAGTGAAGAAAACGAGGCGATTTCCTTAAACAATAGATACTATTTATTAGTATTTTACTTATTACAAGTTTTTCATGTCCTGCAAAATCATAAAAATAAGAACAAAAAAATTATACTTGATATTTAAAAAATGCTGTTATGTATTATTAGTAAAAGAGCTAAAAATATAGAATATAATAAACACATACCTAGATTGCAAGCAGTTGCAGGTGGATTACAAAACTGAGCAACCAACTGCAGTTTCTTGTCTATGCCTGGTCTAAACCTGTACAACTGACTGAAATAGTTTTGCATACAATAAATATAATCCTTATATGATATCATATGGCTCATTCTTATTTCAGTACCAACTACATTAACCCAACTGTCAGTATTGCCATTTTCCTCATATCTATAAATGTTTTTGTGGCATGCAGCATATACCATATTATTGTGTGAACACACAGCAGGACTTTGTATGGCATCTGGCAATTTTGCTATTTTTCTATAAGATCTATGCTTCAAATCATATACAATTGCGGTATCCAATACTACCCTGTAAATTATAGAGACAAATAAACATTTGTATTCCAGAAAATAATATTAGTATTCGATTTTTATTATTATTTAAAAATTATTTATATATATTAACGATTATTTATATAAAAAAAAACATCTATTAAAAAGAGCAACACACAAGTAAACATTTGTAATCAAAATATGACTATTCAAAAGTGCTTGTAATGAGTTTATTTGAATAAAGATTATTTCTATTTCTATTTGTATTCAATAATCCATAAAATAAAGCAATTATTAATATTATTAAAAATATATCTATGGTTCATAGGCAATCTTTACTAAGGGTTATTAAAGAAGTTGTGTAAAATCTTTTACAATCTCAGGTGTCTAGTATTAATAATAAATTTTAATGCTCAACATTACTTAATGTCAATCAGTTCAACTTTATAATCCAGTTTCAATCAAGAGATTTCTAAAATTTTCCTTATTACAAAGTAATGATTGTCTATCAACTATTGATATATTTAAAGCAAGAGAACTGACCTAAACCCACCTACACCTCCTACAAGGAACAAAGAATCCCCAATTACAGCAACTCCCCCATGCCGCCTTGGGGGTAACTCTACACCATGCCTAGTCCATTCTTTCCTCAAAGTGTCATACACTTTGACATCTTTCATAAACATGCCTGTACCCCGTCCATGTTCACCACAAACTATGATCAACTTCGTCAAACCCCAAGCTACAGTGTTCCAACCCCACAAGTTCTTCTCAGCCACTTCCAACCATCTTTCAAAACCTTTTCCATCCAAAAATGTGTACAGACTGTGTGGTATTTGTTCTGGTTTTGCCTCTTTAACCATCCATACAGGCACTGTTGGTACAACATTGAGTATGCGAGATCTACTCTCCTTAACTAAATTGAGAACTTCATTGTAAACCCGTTCTGTAAACATTTCACACAAGACCAACTTTTGATTCAGTACAACTGACTGACACAAGTCATAATCTCCACTGCTCAACTCTAGGAGACAATCAATTACTTTTGCACCAAGACTGTTCACATAACTTTTGACCTGTGTTCTCATCTTTTTCAAATCATTTGTTGTTAATTGTCCTATGTCTAAACAACAAAGTATAATTAACAGAGCATCTGCACCCGTTTCCGTGTGTGATATCCACTCTAAACCAAAGTTGAAAACATCAAGTTCATTACTCGCATCTAAATATGGATGAGAGAGGTACCAGTATAATTTGTGCATTGATGGAATATACTCTGGTTTCATATCTTTGAATGACAACAAACCAAATGCAGATGCCAGTTGTTGTAGTTTTATGTATGAAGAGTTTTCTGCTATACTCATTATTTCCATCCAATTTTGTATACTCAATTGCAAGTCCAGACTATATTCAATTTGTTTAATGAGCTCAGTGATTTGTAAGAAATTTGCAGCAACCGCTATATCACCTATAGTACTCAGTGGATATTCAAAGAGATCTATTATTCCAACTTCCATGTATTTTAGAATAATTTTCATTGAATTCGCATCTACAACCTGTAATATAAATTATAATTATGTAGGTAGAATCTAAAATAGAACGAACTTAATATTGAATTATTAAGATATTAAAATTTTCAATGCTTGTGTTTAAATTTTAAATTCTTACATCAATTCTAACTTCTCTCTGCTCGTTTTCCACGTAGCTACCGCTGAACATAGCAGAGAAATAGTCACTGTGTTGGCAAAGCATATCTTTTCTAGCTTTAAAGACTTGCCCCTGAAAAACTAACGAAATTTCTGCCATTTCTTTTAATTTTTATAGTGAAGACAGACAGAGTTCGCCGGTACTTTTTGAAAATACAATCACATGACACACAATAATTGCTCGAACACAAATAGAGAACAGTAGAAGTAGAAGATCAGAACTTATAGCAATTCCATATCAAAAATTAAATACTGAAAATACATAAGTAAATGTGTAAAATACAAGAACAACAATAAGTCTCAGTCTGAATAAAATTTTACAGAATTCTGATATTTATTCACTAATATACAAAAGTAGGTAATTAACTGCGAGTTGAAGTATTTATTTTGAAGTGACCTTAACACCAAATAGATAAAAGACGAAACCGTTGACAACTGACACTACGTCAGTCCGTCACTGACTGAGTATAGTATAAAATTTATTTACTTTATTTACTGTAGGTATGTAATATTATGTTATCTGTCCTGTAGGCTTCTAAGCCCATTTATTCATTCATTCATAATTTAAGAGCTACGCTCTTGTCGGTGGAGCTCTTGCCACTTTCCGTGATCTTCCGTCATGCTCTTTAATTCTTGATACGACACAACTCCCATTTTGTCCTCAATTTGTTTGATATAGCTATGCCTTAGTTTTCCCCTCCCCCTCTTTCCTTCTATTTTCCCCTCAATAATAATTTTCATGAAATTATCGTACCGTATCAAGTGTCCCAATAAATATAAAAAAAAACTTTTTGGTAGGTACTAAGGGTAGGCGGGAAAATTAATTTCACATTTTGACTTATTCAGTATTTCTTCATTCAGTTCAATCATACACACTGACGTGAAACTGGGTGGCTGGCTTTTGTACATTTGTATAATTTTAGCACAATTAGAACATATATTGAATATGACATCTTCCATATTTGTACGTCTATTTTTCAATTTCGTTTTATCGTGAACTCTGAACTTACTCTTACAAGCGATGTCATATACCCCGATGACCTCATAACGGCAGTCAACCTCCCCACGGGCCCACCCTTTCTGCCCCGACCACACTTTTACACACACATACACACACGACACCGTCCTCGCCGGCGAAGACGACGACCCCAAACACACAATGTAACGCAATCAACTGGGCTCTTGAGCGCGCCCGGGTGCTCTACACCGGCACGGCGCCTCCGGTCGCTACTCCGATCCATCCCCCATCCAAATCAAACGGAGATTGATATTACGACGGCCTGAGCCGAGGTTCGGACCCCTGGCGGTGCCCTCAGACTAAAGTCGTATCCATCAGGCGGGACTTGGCCTTCAGCCGCTCTATAAGTAATTCCGCGGATTTGGATCATCCGCATTCGGCCATCCGCACTCACCCTCTATCGTCCGGTGAAGCTGTAAAGGCCAGCTGCGGCCAACAGCATTAGGGTAGTCCGAAAAAAAACATTAAAAAAATACAACATTAAGACGATAACTTAGCACAATCACAAATTTGAATAAGGTCACACTGGTTTGACAGTGACTTATTTTGACTGACGTTTTATATATTCATGCCATTTTTTTATAGTTAGCTTATTTAAAAGTTTATATTTGCCATTGCCAGTTCTATAATAAGTATTAAGAAGTATCACTAACGACTTGTCATATTATTTATAACTAAAACATTTACTTAGTTTAGAAGACGACATTACATTTGATTTGTTGGTGCAAAATATTACATTATTTACATTATAAAATAGTTGTGTACCTATGTTTCGGTGATAAATATCAAACATTTAAAGAATGACGGCAACAGCATCAGCTGCGACTGCTTCAATTGACGAAGATCTAGACGAGTGTGGACCACAGCTTATTAGCAAGTTGGAGGTTACAATACTATTTTATTTATTTGTATAGATATATATAATAAATACTTCGGTACAATTGTTTTAGTCTTATGATTGTTGTATCATATTTATACTTCTATCATTAAAAAACATATAAAAATGCACTTGAAATGTTAGTCAAAGGACAAGTAGGAAACTGATTAATGAAAAAAGTTTCAGCAACAAGCTTTATTAATAAAGTAATAATATATAATAGCTTTAATAATAAATGTTTAAAATTACAGGGTAATGGCATTACATCAGGTGATATCAAAAAGCTTGAAGAAGCTGGCTACCACACTGTGGAGTCAGTGGCATATGCTCCTAAGAAATGGCTTATAACAATTAAGGGAATCTCAGAAGCTAAAGCTGACAAAATACTTTTAGAGGCATCAAAACTTGTTCCTATGGGCTTTACCACTGCCACAGAGTTTCATCAAAAGAGGTCAGCATTTTTATTCAAATTTAAGGACATACTTTCTACTGGAGATTATCAATCTTTAAATATAAACCTCAGTCTCACCTTTTTAAAGTAAATAAAAAGTAAGTAGCTTTGTGAGCTGTATTATAATTGTAGGATGCAAATAGGCAGTAAAAGGCAGAGTGCCAAAAACTAAGAATAAGCAATTTTTAAACTACATGTGAGAACTTAACAGTACTTGCAGGCAAACTATCACAAATGTGGCAACAAACTGCAAACCAATCTATTATTGGAAAGGACCATGTCTAAGCTGGGTCTAAGCAGAAGATGATCAGATGGTGGGAAAACAGAGATAAGCTTTTGTGGAATATAATGAAAAAACATTTGCATAATAGTTTGTGTAACCAGAGACTGTATCTTTGTCTATAAGTAATATCCAGAACTTTTATGTGTTTACACATTTGTAATGATTGAAATGTTTGCAGTGATTTGGAGTTTGCAACAAGCTCCAAGTTTGTGATGAGGCTGTATAGTCTGCTCTAAATAATAATGAAATGTTTCAGAGCTGAAATAATTCAACTTACAACGGGATCCAAAGAATTAGACCGGTTGCTGGGTGGTGGAATAGAAACTGGCTCCATCACGGAAATATTTGGGGAATTTCGAACAGGCAAGACACAGCTATGTCACACTTTGGCTGTTACATGTCAGGTATTTTGGTCTTCTATTTTCCAGTTTCTGCATAAACTCTGTTGTACTATGAAGTACTAAAGAAATTGTGTCAGTAGTAATTTTGTCTTTCATTCCTATGAAATCTTTACTATATATATATAATATATATATTTAAATGTAAAGCTATCTTTGCTACATCATTACATGTTAGTGCCTCAATTAACATAAAATTTATCACTTACATAGTATTTAGGATAGAGAAGGATATAGTCTACATTACATTATGGCTATACAACTGACGGAATTTATAGACATCAAATCAGTTAGACATTGTGTATGGAAGGCGTTGACATAATGTGACTTTTGTGACAAGTACGGGTCTTTTTTGGTATAATATTGTAGGGGTCTAATTTTGTGACGTCATATTTCAGTATTTGAACCATAAGAATGATATATAACCATAATACAATATTAGACCGAAAAACTTAAACATATTACAAATTTTAACTAATGTTTTAGTAGTGTATTACAGTCTAACATATGTGACTAGCTGTGACAAGAATGGGGGATGGTAAAAGAAATATAGAAATTCATGTTTCATATTTTATGGTAATTAAATTACTTCATTCATATTGAGCATTATCATGCCAATCATACTGAGCATTTGTCCTCAGCTCCCAATCGAGCAATCTGGTGGTGAAGGCAAGTGTATGTACATAGACACAGAAGGGACATTCCGTCCTGAGAGGCTGCTGGCTGTTGCACAACGTTACGGTATGGACGGCGCCGCAGTACTCGATAATGTGGCATACGCTCGAGCTTATAACACGGACCACCAGACCCAACTGCTGGTGCAGGCTTGTGCGATGATGGCTGAATCAAGGTAGTTTCCAAAGCAAATTCTATTGAATTTTTTAAGGTGGATTTATAGAGTAGTTGAGTTGAGAAATAATATAATAATAATTAATTAATATTTTAATTCGTCTCGTCTTCGTTCTCGGATTTGCATCCGGATGCAGTTGCATGATGAAACTTTTGTAAAGTATTCCGACCGACTGACGTATCTTAACGTCCCATATGTTGAATTCTATTTTTCGCATTTAGCCATATATATGGATAGATTCAGTAAAACATTTGAAAAGGATTATTAAAGGCCAAGGAGTAAAACTAATTGACCCTGCAAGTGTCGTCCTGGCGGAGAAGTAACTCTAAATAGCAGGTCCAAATGTTTTTAAATCATTCAGAAACCAATTGAAATATAGACAACACATTTTTTTTATTTTCTGTACGAATTTTATTCTAATATTCAGTCGGTTAGCCGTTAGGTTGGGAGTGCCGAATGCGAGTAACGACCCGATGGACTCCGATTGCCTCATTTGGTTATTGACGCCTGCTCTTTCTTTGGGAGTTTGGCGGCGTAGCAGTAATCGATTGTATATCAGCAGCTCTCCAAGAGCAGCCCGACAGCTGATCAATCTTTAATTGTTTGAACGCGTGCTTATTCTCAGTATTATATTGATTTTACTGTCGTGTGCAGGCCGTTTAATCCTTTACAGGTTTACAGCTAACAGATAATAAAAATGTAAATTATATTTCAGATATTCTCTTATCATAGTGGACAGTGCTACAGCACTTTATCGGACTGATTACTCTGGGCGAGGGGAACTAAACCCTCGGCAACAGCATTTAGGTCGTTTTATGAGGATGCTACTAAGATTGGCTGATGAGGTATTTAAAATGTCATAATTAGTGAGTTTAAGCTCTAAAAAGTGTCGACGGTGTTTTTCCCAATTTAATGAAACATAGCAAAATAACTCCACTCTTTAAGTCAGGAGAAAAAACTGTTAGGTAATTATAGGCCTATATCTATCTTACCAGTATTGAGTAAAGTGTTTGAAAAAATTATGCTCAATCAAATGCTACAACACTTTAAAGTAAATAAACTGCTTCACAGTCGACAATTTGGTTTCACGGCCGGTAAATCAACTACTGATGCCGGTGTAGCTCTCATTAAATATATATTTGATTCTTGGGAGAGGTCTCAGGATGCAGTCGGTGTATTTTGCGATCTTTCAAAAGCATTTGATTGCGTTGAACATGAAACACTTTTGCTCAAACTTGAACATTACGGTATTAGATATGAAGCACAAAGCATGATGAAATCCTATCTAAATAATAGAATGCAAGTTGTCGAAATAAATGGTGTAAAGTCTGAAGGAACTAGTATTAAAATGGGTGTTCCTCATCTATTTTAGGTCCTTTCTTATTTTTAGACATAAATGATCTTCCTTATATGGTAGAAAAGATAGCTGACATAGTTCTGTTTGCTGATGATACTTCATTAGTATTCAAAGTCAATCGACATATTGATGATTTGGACGAAGTAAACGGTGCTCTTTCTTATGTTTTAAAATGGTTTACGGCTAATAATATGTTACTAAATGCAAATAAAACTAAATGTATCAAATTTACTCTCCCCAATGTAAGGCCGGTAGATTCAAAAATCATGTTGGACAATAAACCTATTAATTTTGTGGATGATACTGTATTTCTAGGTATCACATTAGATTCCAAGTTGCAATGGGGTGCCCATATTACTAAATTAGCGAGTCGACTTAGTTCTGCCGCTTATGCGGTAAGAAGAATTAGACAATTAACAGACGTGGCAACGGCTAAACTTGTTTACTTTAGCTATTTCCATAGCATTATGTCGTATGGTATTTTGTTATGGGGCAAAGCAGCTGATATAAATACAATATTTATTTTACAAAAGAGGGCCATTCGCTCCATTTATAGCATGGGTTCCAGGGAGTCTTTGCGAGAGTGCTTTAAGGAATCAATAAAATATATTTATGAAAATATCATTATGCCAGGAAGAATATAGACAGTTTCAAAAGAGTTAGTGATTGCACTAATAAAAGCTTACGTAACAATAACAAACTGATTTTACCTAAATGTCGTTTGGCTAAAGTTAGTAATTCGTTTTATGGCAATTGCGTAAGCAATAAAATACCAGAGTCTGTTATAAATCTGCCAGAAAAAAGATTTAAATGTCGAATAAAACACTTCCTTTGCAAAAAAGCTTACTATAAAATTGAAGAATTCGTTAACGATAATAATGTTTTTGTAGAAAAATTTTAAATACATAGCACTGACAATATTATCTGATTACACTAATAATGAGTGCGTAGCGATTTCTATGTTGATTGTCGCATTCTTACTTGTTATACTGGAATTATTTATATAAAAAAAATCTATTCGAAAGAGCAACACACAAGTTTCTTGCTCATTCTTCTTGTGATGAATCTGCATTCCGAATGAGTGGTAGAATCAAAATATGACTATTCAAAAGTGCTTGTAATGAGTTTATTTGAATAAAGATTATTTCTATTTCTTATTTCTATTTCTTTAGGAACAATATAGCTACCCTACCTGTGTATCTCTAATAGAATAGTTTTTTAATAAAATACATTGAAGTATTGAATACCTTAATGTATTTTATTATCAATAATTTAAAGTTATTGCACACGTTATATACAGTAATTATATTTCTTTTGTGAGATATTTTGACACTGTTACAAGCATCCTGTATCCATATAATGAACACAATACTACGATTGTAGATTATATAATATAATTACAAATTAATTTTCTTTTTCATTTATTATATTTACGCCTCTAACAAATATTATTCGGTACCACATACAGTTAACTATTAGGAAATACCGCAGGGTGTAAAGTTTGCCAAATGCCCTATTACCTGTATTCTATACATTAATTAAAGTTAATTAAAACAATATCTTAATATATTTGATATGTAGATTTGTTCTATATTACAAATCTAATTTAATTGTCGTTTTAGTTCGGTGTGGCCGTCATAATAACGAATCAAGTGGTCGCTCAAGTGGATGCAGTGGGCGTCTTCAATGCAGACACCAAGAAACCAATTGGAGGACATATTATTGCTCATGCGTCCACCACGCGATTGTATTTAAGAAAGGGCAGAGGCGACAATCGCGTATGCAAGATTTACGACAGCCCTTGCTTACCGGAAACGGAGGCCATGTTTGCTATTAGCGCTGAAGGTATCACAGATGCTAAAGAGTAATTTTTTTTTCAACAATGTGACGGCAAAGGAAACAGGTTAAGCCATGAATTAATTTTAATATTGTAAGGTGTGTAAATAAATAATCATTTAATTGTAATAAAAATGTATGTAATTTATAGGTTGTTTTTGTTTTTCACACGTATAAAATATAGAAGCTTTTATTTCATATTTGCATTCAACAAACAGTAAAAATTACTTATATTATAACAATAATATTGGCAATAAATGAAAATAAGAATCATACTTAATTCACTTATAAAGAAATTATAGTACAATCATTTATATGAGTTGAACAGATTATAGTAAAACAATGTGGTTGTAAAGTGGTTTCCTTGCAGTTTGTATGGTATCTAGGACATAACGGATAAATCTGACAATGTTACCCAACAGGGACAAAGGTACTCTGTTTTATTATTACTAGTTAAGACAGTTGATTTAACATTTTTTTCTGTGAAAAGAGCAAATTGTATACATATAGAAAGTAAGTAAATGAGGTTTCACAGGTAAAACAAGAGAATTTACAGTAAAATAAAAAATCTTAAAATTTCTAGAAAAACTTTAGAAAGCCAAATATATCATAGGCTTTTTGGCAGTCAATAATAAAAAAAACTACGACAGTTTGAAGCAACTAGCTATACGTCCTGGCTACCGATAGATGCAATTATTGTAGGAATCTATTTTAATATATATCGACCTATATTACTTTTTTGACAATATATGTATAGGTTACTTGTTAAGTGTTTTTTTTTAGTTAACAATATTTTTTTCTAAAAATTCTTGTTTGCTGGATATCTAATCCAGACATCTAGCATAGGCAATATTATACAGGAACTATTATAGGCAGCGGAAGACACTATTCTTGCTATAAGTGGCTATAATTTATAATAAAAAAATCATGATAACAAAACCAAATCAATAATACTAGAAGGTAACAAAATATACATTTATTATAATATAAAATGTATATAGGTATTCCATTCTAATTAATTTGAGATCTATATATTTTTAAGGCAAAATTTGAATTTACATATGGCGTATACACTTCCAAATACAAATGCTTTTTAAATAAAATAATTCCATTTAATCATATTGGTTCATGAGTCCAATTTTGAACGTCAATAAAATTCTGAATTTGAAGGGTCAATTAAGTAAATAATTTGTAGATTGGTGCACAGAATTCTTCCAAGATAATGGTTTATACAATAACGCTATGACGATTTTTTAGAATATGAAATTTGCAACTTTATTAATATAGTTAAACAGGTTTTAACACGAATAATTTTATGGCAACTAAAGGTATTTACCTCTCTCCACGTTTCGACTAGGTTGCTCTAGCCGTGGTCACGAGCTGACTATTGTGGTGTTTAATGTAGTAAAACCCGTTTAACCATTTTAATAATGTGTACTAAACGCGAAAGTTTAAAAATAAGTATTTCCATTACAGTTTATATGCAAGTATGAAAATAATAATTTAAAATATAAATTAAATATACATTATACCGATGCGTTCCAGAAAAATAACAGCATTTTAAGACCCAATTAAACTATATTTAAATATGTCTCGTTTCCCTATAAGAATATTGAAGTGTGATTTTTTGTTTAACACTGGGTTATAATCACAATTACCGTTGTATAATAATTTCACTTTTAAAATATATCCAAACCAAAATAATTCATATTTTCTTGTTAAAATAATAAAAAAAATCATAATTCAATAAATTCTTATTATAAATTTATATTTAAAGGTCACAAAGACGACAGCCCAATATAGGGACATTTCCCAACTAAAAATAAATGTGCTACTAAAATAGAAATAAATTATTACAATTAAATTATAAAATAAAATAAATACAATTCTATATTTCGGCTATTACTATAACAATAAGTATAGAAACAAATTAAAAAAATTACGTAATTGTGTTTTTTCTTAATAGATATTTTTTTATTAAAAAGGCAATATAACTGAATAACGACACCGCATTATTTTGCGCTACAAACATTAAAACTTAAAAGAAAAATGTCTCTTAAAACTGAAATAAATTTGATGTGTGTTTTCGTAAGTTCATACAGACATAAAAGTATTTTACACACAATTGTAGTTTATGTTTATAAATTATTGTAATTTTGTAGAAAATATACCTCAGCAAAATAGCATTTTATACATGTTTTTCAACACACTTGCTCATAAAACACGCGTGCGATATAAACGCAAATAGTAAAGTTATATTCTATAACCGCACTATTTGCTGTTTTTTTATTCAAAATGCGAAGTGACCCCGCCCGTCGCCTGCCAGTAGGCAGCGCGCTCATTTAAAAAATAAAGCAACAGTGTGCAACAGTGTTATGGTTGAGTTTATTTACTATACAATCAAATGTGTTGAAAAACGTCGTACGATATACGTGCGTATTTAACACACTCGGAGCTATTACGTCTTCGCCTGCGACTCGGGCTGAAATTCAACCTCGTGTGTTGTAACCATTATAATGCATTTATAAAGTAAATATATATTTATATAATATACTATAACAGCACAGCAGTATCATGTTCAGGTATAACGATTACCTTGTTATATTTTTATAGAAGTGGTACTGCTTATATAAATAAACCACATTAAGAAATAATTATTATTGCTATGATACACTATTGTTGATTATAAACTAACATTATAGTAAAATGACCAACCCGTATAACATAAGTATATGGCGTACTTAAGTACATAATATTGGCTCATTTACTCGTGACATCATAATTAGATATATAACAATATTATTTTATGTGTACATTATTTATTATGCATTCAATATCAATTATAATATTGGTCTACTACAATATTTATGTTGAAAAGGGACCATTGTTAAATAACGTCACACTGTATGGAGGGGTCGAAAAAGTGTGACATGGTGTGATGAGGGGGGCCAATAGCATTAAAACATGCACTTTGATATATGAACAAAAACTTTGAAAATATTTATATAATATATAAATAATTAAAATTACAAGATATGTCACGTCACATGGAGAGAGAGAAATCATATAAATGTGTCCAGCTGTGAGAAAGGGAGAGGTAATAAAAAAAATTATATATGAATTTTTTGTGACGGAATATATGGATGGTCCCGAATGTGAATAATAAAATAATTATTAAAAAAAATTGGAAATATAATCTATTATTATAATAGTCAGAATGTAATATAATCAATAATATTAACTAAATGTTTCTATATTTATGAATTTTATGTTTTAACTTCTGATATATATAATATATAAAGATGTGTTACATAAATCATTCATATTATAATCACAATACGCTATAGTGTCAAGCCTTTACCGTGAATGGTCAACATTTAACAGCGTGCTCACATCTGGTCGGCCCGTGCCGTCGACGCCGTTTGATTGGCTCATTGGTTGCTACGCCCCACCCTCTTTGAAAATGCAAGCAATCAATCAATCGAAAGAGTCGTCGACACGAGCCGTCGGGTTTCAACCTGATAATGTGAGCACACTTTAAAGTAATATACGCAAGCACAGACATAGATACAAGATAGAAGGTGCAACTATCTCAATCTATATAAGTCTAAGCGTGCCATACTATATTATTATGATTAAACCTTAATAGGCTGAGTTTATCCGCATCTAAACAAATACTTAGAGTGCGAAATAAGAAATCGTACGAGAATAATCTGTATTTATTAATACATGCTAAAGTTAGCAGATTTCGCACTATAATCGAAAACAAATAATGTTTATATCGACCTCTTAACAATAAATAAATAAAATTATTCTGAAATCGTGTCAAAACCAATTTATAATTTAAAATGTAGTTTAAGTGTTTAGTTCTAGCTTTTACTTGAGACAAAAATAGGCACGCCGACAAAATAAGTAGCAATAGATCCACATCTGTGTTCGCAACTAACAAATAAAATATTATAATCTGTTATTTCTTACCTATTACAACAATCTTAGGAACAAACATTTTACTGGACAAATTCTTTAATATTTTGCAAATTGTACTTTTTGTGTTAATCTTATTTTTAATTGACCCATATCAATTAAACTATACTAATTAAGTAAGAAAAAACAGATGATACAATAATTTTATTTTATCTAAGAAGATACACACATATCACTCATTTTTATATTTTAGAAAATTTGATATTTAATATTACTTCGTATATCATGTGTTACAGTGAAAATATACTATCATATCTACAGACAAAATATTATTACAAATACCAATTAATACAATTAAATGGCTACTTACGTTTACTTTCACGCGCGATCAGAAGCACGGAAAAGCCCGTGCGCCCAAGCGCGTGCTATTGTCTCTATGTCTGTTTGACGTGTTCACTTTATCGCGCGCGATTTTCGTGAATTTTCGATTCAGTAGGAAAGCGGTCGTGTAACGGGTAATCGCGCGCGATTCCGAACGAGGAACCTGCATTATTAAAACGTAGTCATTCAAAATATATCACTCACTTTGTAAGGATAATAGTGTATTATAAAATCGCGCGTGTGAAGTAGAGACTTATTATTTTTGTACGCACGATTGAAGTATAATCTCTTCCTTTATATTTTCTTGCATATATCTTAGTTGCTAAAAATAAAGTACATTAATTTTTCGATTTGATTTGTAGACACAGTTCCTAAAAATATATAACTAATATCATAATATTACCTTTGTCTGTAGATACAAAAAAACAACAAATAATAACAATATATTATGGTGTTTAAAAATATACGTTAAATACTTCATGAGTTTGTTTAGCACCGGATTGTATAGGCAACTACACCTACATTTTACTGTAAAAAGCATGTCTTTTAATCTATGACCTATGGCTTTGATGAAATGTTTTTCAGCAAAACACATCTATATATACTATGTATAAACTATATAACATTAGAAATATATTTTACTTGAAATCTGATATTACTGCTTTATAATAAGTAATAAAAAGAGCATCCTATAATAATAATAGCACTTTAAATTGTTTGCATATACTTTTAAACACCATATTAAGAGTTGAAGAGAGCTAAGACAATGCTTATTGTGCTATCCTCGTTAATAAATAATATGGTACGTGTTATACTCATAGTTTGGGGTCCAGCGAGGGTCCTGCAGGGACGACAGTGACTGGAACAGGCACGTGAGGTGCTGAAGCGCGACCTTCTAGGTCGATGCGTTCATGTTCGCGCGCCACCAGTGCGCGTAGTTCATCCTATTTATAATAATATATATTATTTTAATATATATATAATAATAAAAAGTAATAAACAGGTGAACTTCAGCTGTTGAATTGGATATAATTTTCATTGTTGCCTGTTTTGTATAGTAAGAAGCATGACATGATGTCTTAAGGCTGGTAATATAAGTGACTTTAAGTGTAGACACTTAACAAAAAAAAACGTATGAGTAACAGTGTGTGTATCGCCCAAACCCAAAAAAGGCAGCATTTCAGTGTATTGTTTGCTGGAGCAGAAAACTGATGTGACGGACTATTTAACTTAAGGGTTTAGTATGTAAGAATCTGGACTCACTCACCCCCCAACCAAGTCTATCAGCGAGATCTTGACAACCATCATCACAGTCTCCCAGTCGCGCCACATCGCGGATACCTTCTTCATCAAATTGAAGACCTCCACCCATGAGACCCAATTGTCTGAAGAATGAAGACCTGACACCCGCCTTCTCTCGGTTAATAAGCAGCCGCGGACACCAATCTGGGACCCTACAATTAAAATTAAAGCACTGTATATACAATTTTATTTATAAGTATTGCTGAGATTGCTCTTCATATTTTTAAATACATCCATTGTCTATGTTATTGATATTTACATTACATTCATATAGGTGACACAATGTTTAAAATCAATTACGTATTTTTTGTTTTCCCATATCTAGCACACCGCTTTACTTCCGATGGTCGCGGGTCGATTCCTAGCATAGTACAAATATTTGTATTCATGTCTGTCGAAATACAAAGAATTGTAACTAAGTATTTATCAGCTATCTAGTATCGATAACACAAGCTCTGCTTAGATTGGGACAACATGGCGCTGTGTGAATTGGCCAGGAATGATATTATTATTATTATATAAACAAACCAGACGAAGTCATGGGAAACAATTAGTGTATCATATTTTTATGTTCAACCGCGTAAAGACAGGACTATAACATATATAAAAAAATCATAACCTACATATCAATAAGCGAGGCAAATGGCTGTACTTCTAGCGATGAGCCCATGATGATGAGCATATCACAGCGCTGGAAGTCCTCTTGTAGGCACTGTTGGAATCGTTCTGGTAGACTCTCGCCGAAGAACACTATATCTGGCTTCACTACTCCAGGACATTCAGTACATATGGGGATTTGATCAGCGAATATGCGCTCTGAAACGAAATATATCTTTTCATTGTAACATATACTATAGTATACGAAATTAAAGTTCAAATACAATATGATTGACTTGTTTTTTCAATGAATAATAATGGAATAGGGTACCCATTGAGCTAACGGTTTACGCATCAGGGGGGATGATCAGATAACACACATCACAAGATCAAACTGATATGGTACATTGCTAGTAATACAGTTATACCATATTACTAACAATCCCCCTTTCAAAGCTAGTATCGCAATTAGTAGTTATTACGTATTAGACACAAATAATAATTGTGTGAACTGAAATAGATGAATAAATCCTACAACTACAATGGTTTGAGATGTAATTTCTATTGACATAATACTTTTAAAAAAGATTGGGTTAAATATCCAATTTACATGAATTCATCTCCCTTTAAGTTGGTGGTAGATTTAGCACCCAGTATATCATACATTATGCAGTCCAAACCCGCGGAAGGACTTATGGAGCGGCTGAAGGGCAACTCGCGTATGATGGATATAACTTTGAGGGATTAGGCTAATTAGGCGTTGTTATTTAATCCTTTTTCAATTCGACGGGAGATCGATCTAAAGGCATTCAATATTTATATCGACCAGGATATAATTGACTGGAAATAAATCCTATAGAGTGTTAATCCCTTAACTCATACACTATCTCCTCAAGTAACTTTACAGCTGAATACTTAATATGAAATTGCAATAAGGGTTACCTTTGACAAAATCCAGACCATACTGCTTTCGACAATCTAAGCAGTGGGAGGTATAGAAAGTACCATGAGCTTCAACAATCTTGTCTTCAGGAATGCCAGCGCCACGCTCAAGTGTATCAATATTCTGAGTATAGTGACGGAGAAGTAAACCTGAAAAAATATAAACCAAATGTATTAGATCATCTCAAGAAGTACTGGGATATATTATAACTGACAACTGATGGTGAAGAAATCTTCTCATGCAGTTGTTAATAGTCCTCAGTTTATAGAAATTCAATGATCAGATCCAATTCCCAGCCCCGAAGAGGGTGGAGCATGTTAACTATAATATGCATCAATAGAACGATGGCAATCTGACATTTAAACAACTGTATAATAGCAGCCTAAAATCCACAACTAAATATATGTACATAATTTTACATTATTCCAATAATACTATGTTCAGATTCTGAGATAATATGATAATGCACCTAAATATATACAGAGGTAGAACTACCTCCTTTTTTAAAATCACATGTTAACAAAACTTTCCAACAGTGTAAGAGATAATTTATATATCATTCATACTTGGTACAGTAGTAATATTTATAAACTACATGTGCCTGCAGTTTCACCCGAGTTAAATTTAAATATAAAAAATATCCTATGTGTTATTCTGATGCATAAGTTATATTATAGTTAAGTTTCATAAAAAATTATATCAGTAGCGTAGTTTGCGTGAAAGAGTAACAAATATCCATACTCATAAAATATTATTGAGATGTATAATAATATCCCTGAACAATTCACATGGCGCCATCTAGTCCCAAGCTAAGCAGAGCTTGTGTACAATAGCAAAGCCACTGATACAAATACTTAAATACCTTTTTTTATAAATACATACATAATATACAAAAACAAAATACCCAACCTATATATGTGTGTATATATACATTGTTAAATGATAGTAGAAAATATATTATACCTTTTTCAAGCAAAAGTTTAATAAAATAGTGTGATAAAGTAGGTTTGAAACTTCCTGGGAATAATTCCTTCGCTAATGTGAAGAATGGTTTTGGATTCTGTCTGAAGAAGTTTATTTCAAATATAGCTTGTGGTTCCGGTAGATTGTATTTTTGCAGATTATGATATAATCCTGTTTCTGGACTGCGGAAATCTGGTATTCCTGCAGCTGTAAAAGAATTATTAAAATTTAAGAAATAAATAAAATCTACCATATTTAACTCTGTTTTTATCCATACATAGAAAGGTAAATTTTGCATACAAAGACTGGCATTAGCATACATGGGTAACTGTATTTTTTTTAACATTTGGTATACATATACAAATTGTTTGTAGTTGATGGGTGAGATAAGTAATTGAAATTATAGGGTAATATTTATTAGTGGCTTTTGGGTTCTTGTCAGGTGCTAAGACCTTTAGCACTGCAACCTGTATAGATCTACTGTGCTCACCCTTTACATTAATTACAGGGTATTTATAGATGACTTTATATACCTGTGGTATGGCAATGTAGAGAATGGCCACTGTATGGCAGATTGACTGGTAATATGTTTAGTAGAAATATAGCATTTATTTTACAATTATACAATATTAGCATTTATTAAAACAAAAACTATTGTTAAATGTTAACACATTTATTTAATTTTAATTTCATTACAGCTATTTAATATAAATTTTTTAACATAAAATACATAAAAGTTCTCCTGTCACAGTTTTAGTTGCCATACTTCTCTGAAACGACACTACTGATTTTGATGAAATTTTATATATATAGTCAGTAGGTTTGCAAATAGGTTGTTATCTATTTTTTAAAACCTCTGAGAGATGAGGCACCCACCCCATATCTTTTTAAATATTTTAGACATATTTTCATTTTTTATTATTTTTATGTGTCATTAAAATTATGTAAACTCTACAACCAATATTAATTTATATGGCAAAACAACATATACCAGGTCAGCTAGTAAATATGTAAAATGTATACATATAAGGCACAATAATTCCCAGTATAAACAAATATTGAATGAATGACCTTGAGGTAATTATCAGACACTGTAGATTAAGTTTCCATTGTTAATTTTTGTATTTATTTTTAGTCACACAAAGTTTTCCATAACATTTTGTACTGTAATTGGTTTCTAAAATATTTTTTTTAATTTTTTTGCTTGTTACAAATAATTCAATTCTTCTAATGTATGTAATGTTGTTATCTACCTTTTTTGTATGAATAACATGGAATAGTGCATCTGCCTTCATTATTAGTATATGCAAACAAATATTTCCAAAGTTAAAATCATTTACTCTGTATGTAGTCAAGAATTTTATATTTGTGTGAGGTTCTTCGAGATTTTGGCATTCCTAATTATGAGGGTGCGCTAGTGGAGGATACTAGAGATGAAATAAACTTAAATAGACTATCATAGCAAACTTTATTATGACTTGACCATAATGGTGTCCCGATGAAAGTTATTTGTTTACCTCTGCTGTCAACCTTACATAGTCCTAAATTCCTAGTAATTGTTTCCCTAGTTCGTAATATTAACACTTTGTTAACAAAACACAAGTTAACTCATCTTTTTATATCACCAATATTTATATTATTTTTATATTACCAATCATTGCTGGCCTCACTCATCCTTGCAATAATATTATATATTTCTATATAGTCGAATAGTTTATTTTAAATGATTTACTTCCAGATTCAATTACAAAATAATACACAAACACAGACATCATGACATATATCAATAATAATGACATGACACAGTTTGTGTAAATTTCCTCAGTTAATGAAGTGTTAACAATCCTCTCACCGCTAGTGGCTAGTTCTGTTTCACAATAATCACTCTTCTTGTAATAAATACTATTTCTTATAAATCTTGTTTCTTGTCACAAATCCCTACAGGTGAATAATAAATATTCACTTATGAGGTTTAAAAAATATAAATAAACTTACATGTAGATATTCCCGCTCCTGCTAATGTTATAATGTTTTTACATCTATCACTTTTAATCCATTTTACCATACCATCCAAATTAATTTCATCTAAGACTTTTTCGACCGGCGCTGCTGGCTCGGGTGGTTCGTAAAATCCAAGTTTCTGTGCCAAATATCGTCGAATAGAATCTACGTCAAGATCCCTTATCCTGGAACCTAAGCTCTCGACGTGATTTGGCGGGACTACAGGTACTGTGGGGTCCACTGGATGATCGACTCCTGAAAATAGGCTTGATATTAAAATACTATATTAATAAACGAAACGCAATAGAAACAAATATATTATTAATTACCGTCACTCTTTCCCGGAGGAGAATTGTCAGACATTTTACGAAAATTTAACAAACTGCGACTTGAAACCTTTGTGTAGCACAACCACGGTCTTTTTGACAGATAAACGACGCGCATTCTTGGAAATAGCCGTAATCAAATAAGCAAAGTGTATAATGTATATGTCTCCACATTATATAAAATGTTACGTAATAAGATTTTAATCATATTTTAAGAGTTTATTAAACAATAAATTATGTTGAAAATATTTAACACAAAATAAAAACCTTGGATAATGTCTCACTGATTATCTTTAGTATTAGTTTTGATAAATATGACGTACTTTGTAAACGCACACAAAAACTTTTTTTTTTACAAAAATAATATGCAACAGAAATAGTGTATTCAGCTGTTGTATCAGAAAATAGAGTATGTTTTTTTAATTACTTATAATTTGTAAAAAAAATCTTTTATAATAGTAGGAGTGGGATAAAATTAATTTATTGAAGTAACAAAAAAGTTGCTATACTACAGATTTTTTGTACGTTGACAGATGTCATTATTGAACAATGTTATAAAAATTAATAATTTTTTAAATTTGCATGGAATATTTGAAAGAATCTAATGCAAAAAAAGTAAATTAATTCCACAATGCTAATTATAGAAAATCCAATGACGACGCCGGCAAAACCGCCAAATGTGCCTGAAATATATAGAAATTTCTATTTATGTACGTAGAGTACGTGTTTAAATAATGTAGGTACCTATTACTCAGATAAGTTTATTAGGTACATATTATGTTGTTAATATAATTAATGAATTTTAATCATAATCCTCTATATCTACAGTTGATCTGATAGGTCGAGACCAATTTTCTATTTCAGTTTTTTTCAGACGATATGTGTACTGGTATATATTAATAAATATATGTATATATTCATAGGTATATATCTAATCTAGCTGGTAATGATTTGACTGATGTCATATTCCAATATTGTCCTATGTTATTGTTAAATTGCTAATTTAATACTTTTATAATAGGTGTGTATCTAATGTGATGATAAATACTCACTAAGGACTTCAAACCAATATGATACTACATCCAAACGATCCAAGTTCCCATCAGGTGTAGATTGGTAAATACTTAAAAAGCATTTATTAGATAAATTGATACCTTTAAGGCCACTACTGCAATATACAAAGTAAAATACAAACATTTATATAGGTATTATATACCTATTTATTTATTTATTTTTTCACATAATAATATATGTAGGTATATATGGCGGACCTAATGCCTGACGGCATTCTCTACACATCAATCGATCAAGCATCGCGTTGATCAGAGGTAATAAGGCGGTGCACTTTAATAATTAATATAAAAAAGTACTAAACAACCTATATTACAAGAAAATCTTACTGCTATTAATATAGGTACTAGCTGACCCGCGTAATTTCGTCTGCATCACAGTTAGTTGACATTTATTTATTTCGACCAATTTACACAATATCTTTTTAAATTATACCTATGTAGATACATATATGAGCTATATTATATGTTATAAGTTTTATCAAAATCCATTTACCAGCTTTTGTGTGAAATAGTAATAATATCCATCCGTCCTGCCATACTTACAATTTTTGTCATTTTTGATATTGGCACAGATAATATAATATTACAATATTAGTAAGATTACATCTACCTATTTACATTTGATATGAGAACGGAAATTTAATATCATGTGAAAAAACCCTGCAGATAATTCTGTAATATCAAAAGTGCAAAGACTTACAATTGAATTCCTTTAAACTGCTTCTGTGCATGCTCATTATCAATTTTAAGAGGTATTTTAGACACTCTCGTGAAGTGCTGCGTGAACTCGCAATCTGGTAAGCACTCCGGACAATAGAGGGAATCTTGGATTTCTAATTCCAATCCAATTGTGTTCAGAACATTTATAGGAAATATATATAAAAGTTTCTCTGAAATGAAAAATACTTCTAGAGTATGGGTAGTTAAATTTCTATTTCATTTAAATCTAGCTATCCCCGCGGTTTTAGCCGCATGAAATTTATAGCCTATGTGTTATACGTTTGTTTCCTTTAGTCGCTGATTCGATTCCTTTCACGATGCAAACATTTGTATTCATGAGCATGATGACCCAGACCAATACCAACTGTGTTGGTCTGGGCGTTTTCTATTATGTCATGACATGTAGGTACATTTACAAAGAAATGTATTTGAGTACGACTTTTATATGATGTTGTCTAATATCCATACCACAAGCTCACCTTAGCTTGGGATTAGATCGCATTGTGTGAATTTGGCTGCGTTATTGTTATTCTTGTCATTATCAATAGTTAACCAAGAGGGCTGGTTACTTACCTTTATATTTATTCAAGCATCTCAGATGTTCAAGATTGCATACTGGACCATCATTTTCAGTAATAGGCAGAAAGTATGGTGTACATTTACATAATGACTTAACTGTTTTTATTTTGCATCTTATAATACAAGCGCTGTATGAATACATATTTCCGAAGCTCTTTTCTTCATCACGGAATAAACAGTTTCTCTGATGACGCAAATAAAGTCAAGTTACTTCACTACTGAGATAAGTGGAATTTCTTAGAATTCCATGGATTCATCGTACGAAAGCCCGATCGGGAGTGGCAGAGAGGGAAACTCCGAGCAATTTTCGGTAGTTGTCTTGTCGACATTCACCTTCACCGCTCGTGTTTCTCTCCCTACTCAGCCAATTCTGATAGGAGACTGCTAATGCAGCTTTATTATGTTCTAGTACTTACAGAGTTTACTGTAATTCTAGACAGACAAGATCTTTTAGAAGATTGTAGAGAGATTTCGCTGGTATATCAGAGCTATAATCTCTCGCCCCTACTTTGACCGCATATAAATTAACCATAGTGTAGTTAGATAATTAACTTATTAGTTCGTAATTTTATTATTCTCTTTCCATCGTTTTATCTTCTCTCATGCCTGTGCTGTCAAGCAGCGTACTTTATAATCTGTGTCTCGGTTTGATGAGTATGTCAGTAAATGTGTCTTGAGTAGTCATGCTGACTAAAATGTTCCGACATGTGGCGAGGTGGAGAGATTGAGATCCCTAAAATATGGCCGAGCGCTATTTCACAAAAAATATTTAGTCAAAAATAGATGCAGTAGTTTTGAAGCGATGCGCATACATTCAGATTTTTTTTTAAAGAATAAAAAAATACCGTCTGAGTTGAATATTTCCGGACTTCCGTAGTGGCTATTTGCTTAACTGACTGAAGTTCAACATAAATCGCTTTGTTTATTTCTAATACACGATGTATTACACCCCCACCAGTGGGATCGGCGAAGTGTGTAGAATCAAATACCAGCACCTGGGAAAAAAAACAGTCTATATAGGGGATAAAACGTGTTAAATTAATATTATTTTAATTAGGACATTATAACCGAGGCGGACTTTGTAAAACGTCGTCAGTTTCTTATTTGTTTTATCCGCCATACAGCTTATGATAGTAAACTTAGAGGATATCGAGTCATGACATCTAAGTCCTCCGAAATGTCAACGTATAAGTACTACATACCTAAGATCTGATATAGTTCATATGATAGGCGAGAGTTAGATACCATGAAATACATAGTTACACAACATATCACTGAAAATATTTGAATCCAACGTGACAAGGGATAAACCTATTTCCGTCTATCTAATTAATTTGGTCTAATTGTTGAAATACTGATTCTCCAATTATTGACATACTGCTATTAGTAGCAGTATTTCAATAATTGGAGAATCAGTCAATTATATAAAGTAACATATAAAAGCTTTTGGTGACGAGCTTCTTCTAACTCTAGTCATGTTAATCACTAGGCATTTTGCCAAAATAAAAAAAAATGAAAAATATTCTTACATCAAAACCTTTAATATTGTTTAAAGGGTAAACATAGTCCTCAGCAATTGGATCCAGAAAAACATTCAGTCCATTGTAATATCCAGCCTGATTCTGTTTCTTTACGTCTGCAATTGTCTGATTTGGACTGTTGAAACATAGTTAGGTATAGCAATTATTTGGCACAATTTTCAAGTGGTCAAAGAAAAAATTAAAACACTGTATTCCGTAAAACATATTTCGTATACTAAATACATATTTTTATACAAATACACATACGAAATTCAAATAATTTCAATATACTTTCACGCTTTCTACCAGGATTGCTAACTATACGAGGTTCTTCATATAAGTACCCTGGTAACTACAAGTTTTGTACGATATTTTGAGCTCCAAAAATCGGTCAAAATACGATGTACGACGTACATGGTACGAGATTTTATCAGATTGATGATTTCTTCATACTAGGCAGGTTTTAGAATTAGCAAACTAGCTTTGTGCTTTAAAGAATCTGATGTATGAATAGATAACTACTGTTAAACCACATGTTTGATGATTAAAAACAGTTTTATATCGAAGATAGTCTAAATAAATATACAAATCATTAGTCTTACCTGTCCGCCGAATTGTAGTCCAAAACATAATTAAAAACACAGCAATGTCCGCGGACGGTGCGTCGCACACTGAATATGTCACTGCAGTTCACAATATCACCACCCCACATGCAGCTTAGCAGCATCTCATCACAGTTGGGTGCGAGCTGCATACAATATAATATAGGTGAAAAAATTCATCTTCAATGAGCAATGGTGTCTATAATAGGTAATTTTATTAATGATGATATACATACTGCTTTATTCGAAGTTCGAAACACCTCAAGACCTGACATGTTGGTTTAGACATGAGTATATGACTATACTAAAAGTATTGATATAATTAAAATAAGAATAATTTTATTAGTATCGGCAATTAACGTGACTCTATGTCCACGAGAATGTAGTAGTTGTAAAAGCGCACCTATTGAGATCGACATCATTGTACTCCAGTCAACTCGTGACTACGGCTAGTGCAAGTTGAAACATCGAGAATAGAAAATACCTTTATTTACAAAAGTCGATTGATTATATTAAAAAGACTACTGAATTTATATTCTTCTTTTTTGTAGTTGATTAAAAAGATACTTTACGTGAATATTATTAAGTATATATTTTAATTGACCTTCTTCATGACGCTAACGATTTGTTGGCTGTTCTTATAGTATTGAGAATTATAATACTCCACTGCTGCCAGCGTCCGTAGCCTCTCATTCCACGTAAAATCTAAAAAGCGGCCGTGTTGCATATAAAACCATTGTAGTTCCTTTGATGTATAGTTGTGGTGTGTATTACTGAAAATTCAATGGGTTTTCAGGAGATTTTATTTTTACGAGCTAGTTTTTGTAATGAGTCGTCAGCCGCTTAGCAGCTTACTTTCTAAGCTGTTTTTTAGTTACAGGTTTCGAGATAGGGCACTGATATTATAGGATAAGAGACAGAACATCAGTCGTCTGTAATGATATCAAAGGTGTGATATACCTTGATCTCGTTCATGTAAATAGGTGATGGTTACCACTTACCTACTATCAGATGGGCCGTGAGTTTTCTAATTACATAAAAAAGTAAAATAGTAATTTAAATTAATCGTTATAAAAAATATGTACTATCACGTGTGTTGGAAATTGTATAATTTCAAACACAATGTAAATTGTTACTGAATAAATGAATAAAAACAAGTTATGCCAGTAGGCGTTGTCAGAGACGTTGTAAACTCTAGATATGGTGAACGCAATGTTTGACATGCCCACATTTCAAACTTACGTGCAACATGAGGCGAGCCTTATTTTTAGCCAGACTATTTATTTTATTTTTTTAAGCGCCACTATTCGAAATTAAGCACGTTATAAGAAACATAAACATTCAAAACATAGGGATTATTGCAAAATTAAAATAGTGAATAATCAAAAATGAATATTAATGAATTTTAACTTTAATCCATATTCATTCTATGTTTTATATTATAAATTCGATAGTGTCTGTTTGTCTATTTGATACTTTTTTCCATTTACTTTTTATCCAACATGAATGGCTCTCAATTTGACATGAAGATCCTTATATAATTAGGATAGACATACGCTATCTTTTGTGTCAAACTGGAGGGGATGAAATAAGGGATGAAATTTTTCACAGGTGTTAATAGTAATTTGATATAATTAGCTTTACTTACATATACATACATGTTACTTAGCGGATAACAGATTTTACTTACATGTTACTCACGATGGCTTTAAGTGACTTTCTGCTTATTCTGTTGGAATTGCATAAAGCGATCGCCGGAAAGTTAATATTGGATATCGGATATGTGGTTGATTCCATGGTCACTATGAAGGGTTTGGATAATGTATCTGACCATGTGTAATGTATGAAGTAACAAGTTATACCGAACATAGCGCATAATATTGAAGACCACATCATTCTGTAATAATAAAAAATACATCATCTGTATATATGACAAAGAATATAGCTGATTGCTGTCTGTACATGAAAGATATATGAGAAAACTATTATTTTTATGTGAAGGGGACTTTATCAACCAAATTTTAACGGCCTAAGTGGTCTAGCGGTTTAGCACATAATTTTACATAGTATTATTATAATAAAACCAATACAGTACTTATACAATACTTATACTTTTATGGCAATTGCGTAAGGTTTTACAACAAAATACCAGAGTTTGTTGCAAATCTGCCTGAAAAAAGATTTAAATGTCATATAAAACACTTTCTTTGCAAAAAAGCTTACTATAAAATTGAAGACTAACGACTCATTAACGACAATAATGTTTTTATAGAAAAACTTAAAATCCGTAGCACTAACAATATTATCTGATTACACTAATAAAATGAGTGCGTAGCGATTTCTATGTTGATCATCGCATGTTTCTTAATTGTTATACTGTAATTATCTATATAAAAAAACATCTATTCAAAAGAGCAACATACAAGTTTCTTGCTCATTCTTCTTGTGATGAATCTGCATTCCGAATGAGTGGTAGAATCAAAATATGACTATTCAAAAGTGCTTGTAATGAGTTTATTTGAATGAAGATTATTTCTATTTATATTTCTCTATTTCTATAAGTTGCTTGCTGTGTTTTTGCCGTAATGTTTTTATTTATACGTATAGCTACCTCAATATTTTTTGTATGTTACTATCAGTAATTTTCTTAACCCCAGCTATAGAGGAGTGGCTAGTGTACTCTCTAAGCATTTCCACAAAACTCTTTCGTAAGATCAATTCAGTGCTGACAGTTTCATGGTTCAACCGTTTTCTTCTGTAATTCTGCCACCATAACTCTTCATTAGATCGCATCTAGAAGAAGAATAAACAATGTATGTCATATATGGGCAGGTACGGAGATATGATATGTAAAAATATGTTTTGAACATTACAAAGAAAATCAGCTATGTAATACGTTAAATTATTTCTAGTTAATTCTTTTTATTTTGATGCTCTGAATTTATATCGAATTTATTTATTTTTTTCGTTTCTGATTTGGTAATTATTTTCCAGGTTTCCTGGTAATTATTATGTTATACAGACATAGTCTCTACAAAATCAGAATAGTAACGTGACTTTATATGTAGTTATTGATTGACTTTCCACGTCTATAATATTAGATAGAGCCATATCTGACATTTTAGTAATTTATTTGTATATTTTAATTAAATATTCGTATTTGACAATATAAATAATACCTGAATAAAATGTATAAGAAAATTTCGATAAATATTACGGAACAACTAATTTCATACCGTTTTTTGGAGCGGTGCTTAGGCGTGGACGTACTATGACATATTATTTAAATTGTAATGATAAAATATATTTAAATGCAACATATAAAACACAACATGTGACTCTGCTCTCACGACAATCGATTATAATTACAATGCCAGTGCATGGCATGATATTAAAAAGTACTGTCCCCCTTATCATTGGACTAGATCAAAGTTAATGAATTAATAATTGGTTTATAAGTGTACTTACACCCAGCTTTTTTAAAACATATTTTTCTGTATAATTTACATAATTGTCACAACAATATGCAAAAACTATTAGGCATCTATTGGTAAGAGAGGAAAATCTCTCTGGCGGTATTGACCCATTTAGAGAGAGACTTGAGATGAGACGAGACTTTGCTTTGTGTGTTCTATATTCCTTTTGGTATATTTATTTTACTCTTTGGTTCTACCGAATATACAACTGTATTCTGAGGAAATGTTCGACAAGATGCCTATGGCTACCTTTTACCATTGCATCCCTCGCCATCGAATTTATCCCCAGACGGTAGAACTTAAGTGGTCTCGGACCGTGCGGTTTCGGAGAAGCTTCCCTCCGCGGACACTTCGATTGTGTAATTAATTTTCTGCCGAAGTTTTCTCACGAGAATACAGCACGAGAATAGAATAATAATGATAAGAATGCGTATTCTTTCAACTGTCATATTGAATACTTGCTCATTTATAAAAAAAAAGACGTAACCTACTAATTACCACTGTGGTGAGGCTGCTTGCGTTATATTTAATAAGTTTATTCCAATGAGGAATTAATTTTTTTCAGTTTCAATTCATGGGGTGGAATTTATCAAAATCTTTTCTTAGGGGATGCCTACGTCATAGTATCTTTATGCATGCAAAGTCTTAGCCCGATCGGTTTAATATTGACAAAGTTTCATACAAACTCTCATCCCCTATTTTATTCCCTTGGGGGTAGAATTAATCAATATCCTTTCTTAGCGGATGCCTACGTCATAACATCTACCTGCATGCCAAATTTCAGGTCGATCCGTCCAGTGATTTAGGCTGTGCGTTGATAGATCACTATGTCAGTCACATTTGAGTTATATATATTTAGAAGTACTAACGAAGTCATCTGTTATAATTGAAGTACTTACTTATACCTGATTTTGTTTTCAATGTTTAGAAAAATAAGGTATACAATTATATCTATATATTAGATTAATAATAAAATCATTATTTGTTTTACTGAATACTAATTCATTAATGAATGAAAGCAAAAATGAGGTCATTCAATAGAAAAAAACTCATAAATAATCAAACTAAGTTTTAGGCTACTCTAATGACAAATAGTCTAGGCTATATGAATGTTTGTTACATTAAAAGCATTATTCCAGACAGTTGGCAATACAAAATATTCTTTACAAGTTGTCTATATAGCTAGAACAACAGCATCAAATCATAGAAAATGAGGAACTAGACAAACTTTAATCAAGAGAACAGCTGTGCAAACATAAATTATTGAGGGAAGGAGATTGTTAGCATTGTGGACTAATAACCATCATTACTAGCAATGTACCACGTCAGTTTGATCTCCACGCGCTCTCCCCTGGTAACCATCATGATAAATTCCTGGTGATTTGTTATGATGGGCTAACTGACATGATTTCATGCTCATTTGCGTACAAATGTTGTTAGGTCTCCCCCTAGTTTTCTGCCTGCAATTTGTCAGTTCACTTTTAATGTTAGTAGTGAGCAGCTAGGTATTAGCAAGTCTGAAACTTATATCTGCATTTATACTTGACTAAGTTACCGACAGATGGCAGTAGTTAGTAAGTTTCCGATATCTCGATAGATGACTCTGTCTGATCTGATGTACAGTAATTTCGATTCTGTATTAATGGTAATATTACTAATATTATTTCAAAGTTTTGATTTCTGTTGTATCATATGAATGCAAAACAAAAATAATGACTTTTTTAATTTACTAAGATTTGCAAACACTTTAACGTCCTATACGTCTACATTTGCACAGCACTCGTCACAAATTAGTTAGACTAGCTGTTTTTTTTATTTTTTTTTATAGGGAGGTTTGGGATATTGTCTGATGCTAAAACCTTTAGCACTGAGACCTGTATAGATCTATTGTGCTCGCCCTTATTCAAAGTTCGCTACCTAGACCAGAGAGGGATGATAGACTAGCTGTTACTCACGTCTTCATCCACGTGGAATAAAAGTTATTTTATTAAAATAAACCTTTATATAGTACAAAATGGAGTCGATTCCACTGTCTGATCGGTTAGATCTTTTAAACTGTGCTACGAATTAATGACCATTAATTAAATTTTGTAAAAGATACGAGTCATTCAAGAGGAACGTTTGCCAAACTATACCATGCGTAACCGGGGCGAGTAGCTTGTAAAATATAAGCAGCCTAAGTTACTTCTTATAATATTAGCTATTTGCGAGTGAAAGTCTCGTCAAAATCTATCCAGCCAGTTCAGAATTTAGCAAGAACAAACAGACAGACAAACATTTTTTAATTATTTAATTATGTAAGTACCGTATTAGTGTATATAAGCTTTTAATATGAAATTATGAACAGATGCCTCGATTTTATTTATTAGTATAGATATTTTCTTCATTACTGCGCATTATAGGACTTACCAAGACAAATTAACTCTTCAACTAGCTTTCATACATTCTCTGACGTTATATCCAATATTGTCACACCAACACCATACATACATATATTGTAATAAATTATATTTCCGTATTTATTAAATTTTATAGGAATATAAAGTTACTCATATTTTTAAATATTCCTATAAAATCGATCACGTCTAGAGACAATTTTCAGTTAGTTTCAATAGTCAGTAATATTCAGTTCAGTAGACATGTACCTTGGGAAAGTTGGGGTCATTCTCACGAATATATAATATATATACTAGGATTGTAAATTATTATACCTTTTCTGTTACACCCTGTATAAATATTCATTAGGAAGGTAATTACCAATAACCGTAGTCAAGTTTATAGTCCTGACTCCCGCCGGGTTTATGGCTGTTCAGGGTTACAAGGTGCTATGTTGAGTTGAGTATGGCAACATTGTATTTATTATATTTAATTTTAAAGCTCTATGGCCAAGTTAGTTAAATTGGATTGTGTTTTGTTGTGTTTGATCGTTTGTTGTTTATTATGAATATTCTTTATTTAAATAAATCTAATATTAAAAGCTAAATAAACAGCACAAGATACTACTTATTACTACTCAAAAAAAAAAAATGACTTTACAAATAGTTACAACATTTGTACTCGACCGTCGAGACGACCTCGGTGGTCTAGCGGTCTAGCACACCGCTTTATATCCGATGGTCGCGGTTTCGATTCCTCGCAAGGCACAAACATTTGTATTCATGAAGTATAGATATGAAAAAAAAATCTATGTACTTGTATCAGTTACACAAGTCTAGTATCCGTAACACAAGTTTTAGCTAGCTTAACTTGGGACTAGATGACGCTGTGTGAATTTTCCTGAGATTATTATTTTTTTTTTATCTCTAATTTTTGCTGGTTTTTTTTCCACACTTCCACTCCACTTTCATTTATTATTATTATAATTGTAGTCGTATTTATGAGTAAGATTATTTGTATTAATTTGGGTCCATTCAGTACCTTTATTTTGTTTTTGTCAGGACAATTCACACAGCGCCATCTAGACCCAAATTTAGCTAGCCAAAGCTTGTATTATGAGTACTAGATAACTGAAAATATATAGATATAGTTTTTTTTTATAAATACATATATGCCAGGGATGTTATGGATATGAAATTTCGGATATGGATAGGTTTCGGATATAGGAATGATTATTATACCGAATACGGATACGGATGCGGATATGAATATTTATGTCGGATAATTTCAGTTACGAATATTATTTTTTTAAGGAATTTCAAAAGTAAAATACAAGTAATAAAATGATTACATAACATGCCTCAATTAGGCTCCGTCCCTATCCGATATTATCCGAAACTTCTATTTCGGATTCGGTTACGGTTAGGGATATTTTTATATCGGATATCCGATAGTTTCGGTTACGGTTACGGAGCTGCTTAATATCCCTGATACATACTATACATAGACTCACCAAGACCGATACAAACAATCATACTCATGAATACAAGTACCGTGCGAGGAATCGAACCTGCAACCAACGGGAATAAAGCGGTGTGTTAAACCGCTAGACCACCAAGGTCGTCAATATTATATGTGTATTAAATTATATATATATAATAACCCTGGACAATTCAGCCAGCGCCAACTAGAAAACTGAATACTTGTTTTTTTTTAAAGTACACAAAATATGTGTTTAAATATTTCTATCAGTTGTTTAGTAAACCACAACACATGGTCAGCTTAACTTGGGTTTAGCTGGCGACGTGTGAATTATACAGGGTTATTTTTATTATTAAGACGCAGTTTCCATTAAAGAATGTACTAAACTTGTTTGTTGCTTCTAAACAAACTTTGAATTCGTAGATACTTCCAAATGATTTATTAATTTGACTGTAACGTTTATGTTTAACTATCAATGACTAAATATCTAACGTTTTAACTAGTTAAGTACATATTCAAACATATTTTATTAAAACTATAAAACTGAACAATTTTGGATTACTTATTTTTTTTATTGATTATATTAAAAATATGACAATTGAGCTCAAATTATTGCAGTGATCATTTCAGCGAGATTTAAATTTCAGCGTCAATCCATACAAGAAGTCGATCTTTTTGTGAAACAATATAGATATACTTACATACTGGTTGTACTTGTAAACTGAAATATCGAGTGTTAAAACTCAATACTGAGAAGTCGATTATCATTTGAAACGATCTGAGTATCGATAAAAACTATGAACAAATCGTTGTGCGGACCGGACCGACAAAGAGCCCGGTGTTTCTTGTGGCTTCGATTATAAAACAATTTCAGTAAATATGAAAACGGTGACAAGATGTCTTCCCAATGGCGAGCACACAAAAACCTACTGCTCAGTGTGTTTTGTTGTAGGGTAACATTGAATTTGTATTTTGCAGGACATAGTGCACTGACGTTTATTTATAAATATGTCATGTATTGTATAAATCTTTGAGTTTAAGAAAAATCTTAAATTTTAATATAATAATAATAACACAGAACAATGTACAACAGATAATTTTTATATTCTAGATAGATTGTCGAAAATTCGAATAAGTTGGTAATAAGTAGTGAGTTGGAA